CGCAGTCACTTGAATGCCTCCGAGTCTGATGTTGTGTAGCGTCCTCGGCGGCAACAAGGATTGGAGTCTGGGTGGAGACCAATTGCTGTGGCACACCACATACACAATCATGTCTCCCGCTGGCCTGGGCAGTTGCGGATTTCTTTCCATCGGTGCCGCCACCACAGCTGCTGCAGAACAGCTCCGCCATCTCCCGGGTACTGGCCATCGCCGAAGAACATCACAACCCTTCAATATCCTGTCCTTTCTACATGCACAGGCTTGCACACTTCTGCTTCGTGGGATGTGTGAGCACTACGTAAAGGTACCAAAGCCCAAGGAACCGTTAGCAAGCTCACCTACTTTGGCATTTTGCATTCTCATGCGTCCATGTGCAGAAGGACACCGGCATTAGCACATTTTTCTTTTCCATTTGCGTCACGCTTCGGAACTGTCAAGGGCCTGGGGAGCGGCGAGGAGCGCTCTCTCAGCGCGTTCGGTTTAGACTCAGTTTGGACTGTTTAGACTGTAAATTGGGCCACCATGGGCATCGGTAACTGACCCATTTCCATTTCCAGCTTCGCTGCTCCCTTTCATGTGGCTCGGTCAATGCACGGCATCCAAGCCCACATGTTCGCTCAGCTAGAATCACCGCATCTGCACAACTGCACACAACTGCAGCATCCTGGGAATTATGAGCTAGGAGCTTCCTTCCCCTTGCAAGGAAGGATTACTCGTCGAGCCTGGCTTCTGTGTGTCCGTCTTAGGGTGGCATTTGCCCTCTAAAGCATGAAAACCCGACCTTGGATGACCTAGGTTTCTGAGATGATCGTCCAGGCCCACATGTGCAACAAGAACTTTGCCTTGACAGGAGTGCCAAAAGAAATGGAAAATCACGTCATCAAGAGGAGACAGTTTGGGCCAGTGGGTGCGAGTGGATGCTTGCCCGCGCTGTGTCCAATAGGTTATCATTGAGCGATGTTGTTCACTGTCTAGCAGGGCCGTCCCCTTCCTGGCAAAAACAACTCATGCTGGACCTCCTCCGAAAGGGCCATTCCTTGGCAAGTGACACACACACACGTTCACACGTAAGGGGAGCGCGAGGAAGAACAAAACGGTGCCCTTTCCAGTCCAGAACCACGAACCAGCTCAGGGCCCAGGCTTGATGTCAGCCTTGGCACGAATCTCTTCCAAAGTGTAGTCCACAAGCAAATTTCCATCCTCACAGCAGCTGCCCAGTGCACAAAGGTGTGGAAGAATAGCTCGTGCAGTCCTTGAAGACATCGACCATGATGTCCTTGGCTGGGTCGCCCTTGCCGCTCGCAACCGTGACGTACTTGCCGTCCGAGCTGTAGTGCCTCAGGGTAGTTGAGCGGTTTCTGCCGATTCTGGACCTAGCTGGGCCCTCGAGTTGTTTGTTGTTGTGTTGCTGGGTGTGTCAGATCAGCAGCCGAAGCACAAGAAGCCAGTTCCTCCGGGGACCGGATTCTTGTCCGAACGAGGCTGGTACCTGGAGACATCTCAGGGCCCAGGACATTCGCAGCGCACTCTCATTCCGCTATGTGGCAATCCACTGAATCTTCTTGCCACGCATGCAAAAAGCGAAGCGAAACAGACAGCTTGAATTACGCATTCTCATGCTCACGGTACAAAGCACAGTGCCCGTTGTTGGCATGACTCCCCTGTTGTTGGCATTACTTGGCTTGCTTTGGATGGAAGGTGGCAAACATCTTTGTCGGGCTACATATCAGGTTCGCATTGCAAAAACCCTCAGACCGGGAACGTCGACAAAACCTCATGCTAGCTGTATAAACACGAATCAATAAGTGTAGCATGGTGAACGCCAGCATCAGGAGCCATGATCTTGCGTATTGATATGACCGTGCCGTCAGTCGTCAGATCCATGAAGTTGTTAACTGTAGAAACCGGGCACTTGTCAGCATCTTTGAAGCCCGTTGTCTCCTTTTGGCCACACCAAGACATTCGCAGGCAACTGCATATTGAATCGTTTGTTGTTCCTCTGGACATGTCTTAACCAAGCCGAGGTTCGGAGGCGAGCTGCAACGTCAGACGCCCTTTCTTCGACGCCTGTCCAGGCGTATCAGCTTACCAACTGTGCTCAGCGGGCCACTGCTTGCCGGCTTGAGAGTCTTCCGTCTCTGCCTTGCCCTTGTCGGTGATGGGATCCTTAAACCTCGTCAGCTACGGTCTGTACTCGTCTCATGAGAGACGTCGACACGATACCATGGACCGGCCAGCTGCTGGGCCTACTCTCTCAAAAAACCGAGGTCACCACACGTCGCGACTCTCACCATTGATGGTGATCTCCGCGCACCTCATGCGACAAAAAAGACTGATAGGAGTTGCTGCATGTGTTGCTGCGTTCTGCATGGAGCATCACTTCGGATATAGTCACGGCGCTTGAATGCACATTTGAATGTGTCTCGGTTCAGCTTTTGCAACAGCGCGCCGCCACTTCCAAATGCAATATTGTCCTTGGATACGACAATAAGCATCCAGAACCACCAGCTGAGAATGCTGTGGGGTTGCTGTGGTTGCTGCCTGGGCTCGGCAGCAATCTTCTCCTTCTTGAGCTTCTCGAGGATTTTGGGAATGGATTCCCAGTCAACACCATCACCCTGCGGCACATTCCAGAACTTGACTAAAGAAACCGGTATGCATCCGTTGTCTACGCCAGATATCTGAAGTCAGCGTGACCCAGACATCTGCATGTCAGAACTCTTCAGGCCAGCTCACACTTGTGCCTGGATGACACGGATGTACGCGGGAAGCAACTTGTGTCCTTGCCGCCAGCTGCCACACAAGGCCAGCAGAAGCGATCGCATCTCAGCGCTTGCCCTTCGCACCTTACCGAAAGCCCTGCAGTTAGACCGCTGTTGCAAGACTCAAGAAAACTCAAACCCCTCCAAGAATTCCCTGTACTGGACACTGAAGGTGAGGAAGCTCGACTCCCTCGCAGGCATGGGACTGACATGGACTACCTACAGCCCCCTCCCTCCATCATAAACATCGTTAGCCCCTCGCTGTCCGTCCCTCTCGCCCTCTGTCCTGTTGGAGTCTCTGTCACGTCTTCCTGCGGCGAACAGCTTCGGCTTTGGGAAAATGCAGAGAATGAAAAGGCTGTGCCTTGAACTGCTCCAAAAGAATCCTCGGCAAGCGCACGTCCCGTCATTTCTGAGCTCATTCCTACTTCACTTACCTACATCATATCCGCTTCTGCCTTCCTGTCAAGTGGAAATAGCTAATCAAGCGAGAGGCTTCAGGATGGCTGTGCAGGTCTCTGCTGGATCACCACTGTCAGGGCGCACTACCAGACGACCAAACTTTGTGTCAGTGATGCCTGCAGTGCAAGCAGAAGTCAGCCAATTCATGCCAATAAGTGTCTGCATCCATGGCAGGCAGAGGCCACAAAACATCGCAGAGCTGTCTCTGAATCAAGCGGCGGCCCTTGATGAGATCCTTGAGTTTGTCTCCCCAGTAGTCTCTGCATGCGCGCCAGATGTCGAAGGAATCAGAAACCTTTGTGCAGAAACAAGCTGCGGCCCTGCAATTGAAAGAAGCCTAAGGTCATTCTTGCGGACACACCCATGGATCTGTCAAGTCGCGCAAGCCACCAGCCCTTCGGGATAGGATTCCAACATGTTCCTGCACGAGCCCAGGTATCCCGAAGCTGAAGCCGCAAGAGCCTAAGGCTAAGGAGTCTTAAGGGCCTCATGGCATCGACCTCACCTTCGACGCCCCAGGATGTGATGGTGGAGTGTTCCGAAGCTGGAATGGATCCACCGGCTGCCTGTCATGTCCCATGTAGACAAATTAGACAAGAAACTACCCAAACTTGTCATGGCCGCCTTCTTTGCACCGTAGTAGTCGCGTGCACAGATCATGGCAGCGACGGTGTCAGTGCCCAAGAAGTTCACCAAGTGCCTGAAGCTCCGACAATGGGTAGACTCCCAGTCCGGGCAACGATGTTGCAGGCGAGTGCGTTGTCGAAGCACGCACACCATGCAGGGAACATCTCAAGGGGTACCGTGGGCAGGGTTTCAGGGGTATTTGTTTGCGCTCATGTGGGCTCAAACCTTCAAGCCTCCGTTGACATCCTTTTGAGGCTGCCTGTGGCAGTATCCATCTGGACCCCCTCCTCCCTGATGTGGCCCTTAAGTTACATAAGCTACATAACTGTAGGTGCCCTTCCTTGCTGTTTATCGGGCTGCAGATCGGTACTGCTCGGAATCTAGTGTTTCCAGAGGAGCTGCTGCATCTGCTGCGAAGAGCCTACGGATTGTGGCCTGGCTTGGGGAAGTGACTCCAAACTAAACTCCCGAACATCGGCCATGTTGCCATGGGATGTCTGGTTGCCTTCTGCTAGGTCTAAATGGATGGAAGCAAGGTTCACACCAATTTGGTGTACAAGGTCATGACTGTAGCAACAGGCATGGCCTCTCAAGTCCCACGCCCGCCAGCTTTTTCCGCCATGTTCATGTGGTTCATGCGACTTGCCAAACAACCGCACCCGTTGCGCATCCAGGTAAGCCCGGCACGCACATCCTCCAATTGCCGCAGATTCAACAGAGGAAACTCCACGGAAGCCGAAGTCGTGCAGTTTGAAGCCTTATGACAAACCGTCTCTTTAACAAGCTGCAATGTGCTGCAAAGTGCAGAATGGCATTGTGTGGAAATGTACAGAGAATCGATGTTCACGTATCTCTTGCAAAGGCACAGGTGCCGTTGGGGACTGACCAGTCCGTGTTTCCAGTCTCCTGGTTGCCGATGAACATTTGTGAATCTGTGACACATAGCATGACTCATGCATGTTATAGAACCCCGCCTCTAAATACTTGGCAATCGACAGCCTGAGTGCACACGGAATCATCACAACAAATCATGAGCAAGCCGAATCCCAGGCACAGGACTGCACATGGACACGTGCTACGCCAACTCTACATCCAAGACGCTTCTGAAATCGGCTGTTCGTGCAGACGGTCATTGGATACCAGACCTTCACACAACCAAAACCATTGAAAGACTTATTCGTCCAACGCTGCCACCTATGGCCGCAATGTAGCACCTGCACCAGCAGTGTCTCCAAGAAGTTGGTCAGCCAGAAGCATTTGGGATCCTGCCAGCAACCGGATTCTCTTCTGATCTTCCCCCAATCTGCTTGCCAGCCTGTTAAGACGGGGTGCCGGGTGACCCCTCCACCGACCCACCTCACCGCTTTAAGTTGTCCAGTTTTATGTGCTAGGGGGGGGGGGGGGGGGGTAGCAATCATTTGCCAAGCCACGGTGTTGACAAGGGTGAACAGAGCCGTCTTGGTGGGGACAACCGTACCTGCGGCCATCCAACCCGAAAGCGGACACCAAGAAGAAAGCTTCAAAGGGAAGCACGGCTTCACCGTAACGTTGCCCTTGCGGTCTCACCGGGCATATGCTGAGCTTTACATTAGAACATATGAGAACATGTCCATTTCAGAGCCGTGCCAAGGCTTGCTAGAGCGCTGCGGCGTGGGTCTTGCAGTAGTGTGGCTATGTGAGTCCCCCGAGGATGAACTCTTGGGACCTGCCTTCGGGGACTGCCTTGATGTGAACTGGCAACCTGGTCAGGGCATTGGACATGGCCCTGTATTCCAGAAGCCAAGCTCATGGGCAGACAGAGAGTGAGGGAGCGAGAGAGCGAGAGAAAAAAAGGCAACAAAGTCTGGCAACAAAGTGAAGCATCACAGATCAGCTAGGGCCTGCCACCGTGAGCACTCAAGATGTACTCCCAACCTTCACGATAAAACCTCAACACTCACACACACACACACACACCACTAGAAACCACTGGAACGTGGTCAGCCGCTGATCGCAAGCTGCCACCAGGATGGTTGGTATTTATCATGAACCACTTCTCAAGCTTCTCAAAAGCAGACTTTTCATGAGATGCATCAGAGCTGCAGAGATGGGTTGTCGTTCACCTCCGTGAAGTATGGGTCGAAGCAAAATAGCAAACCAAGAACCCTGAATAAAGACCAAGCTCGTGAACAGGTCAGCCGAATTTGCAGACAAGGGTCGCCATCTCCAAAATGCTGGGAATAAAGCTCAGCGGCCTCGTCAATCTTCTCCTGTGCGGGAAACCCAACAGCATCCAACAGCCAATCATACCTCTGAACACCATCACCGGACCGCGTCCTTTGTCACAACCTGGCCAAGCAAGTACCGCTTGATGAAATACCTCAATACTTTTCCGCAGAACTCTGCGGAACTGGAAAATACTTGCAACATCTTGCGACAATGCGCAATGCAAAACAGTACTTGCAGCGTCAAGGAACTGAAGACCGAAGAACACAACCTCGTTCCATCCATCATTGTCACAGCCGCGGCTCTCGAAGTAACCTGAGATTGCACGCTGGCCACGAAACACCTCACTCAGGACCCACACACACACCCACCCACCCACCCGCCCGCCCGCCCGCCCGCCCACGCACGCACGCACGCGCACACGCACGCACGCGCACACGCACGCACGCGCACACGCACTCGCACTCACACTGCTAGCAATGCACATGCAGCAGCAAAAGGCAGCATGCATCAAGTTGCGGCAAAGCGCTGTAAACGTACTGCGTTCCCGCAGGATACTGCTTCCAGTGACTGACCTTGTAGCTGTCCTGAGATCTTGTCTAAGGTTGGCTTGGGTCAAGCTCGGCAACTGCGAAAAAAGAGGTTGTGCAGCTCCGAGTTGCTGAAAGTAATATGATGTTCCTCAGCTTCGCTTCAACAAAAACCGACAGACCATGAGCACCACTGCTCCCTCTAAACTTAAGAACCTTCCCCCAACTCCTGAACCCAGATCCTCTTGAGCAGGAGCTACAGGGATGGAAACTTCATTACTTGTTCTGGGCCTGACTGAGGTTTGGGAAATATGTCGATTTCGCCCAAGTATGCCCGGCACTTTGTGGTCATCACCAACAACAACAATAACAACAGCAGCAACATTCTCATGATCGTCATCGTCATCGTCATCAGCAGCATCGGCGACATTTCTCGACTCAAAGGTTGCCTCTTGACGCCTTCCAGCCGCAGCTGGCGCCATGGTGCGTCATTCGTTATCCCATACTGCCGGCATCAGGTCTGAATAGGTTCTCACAAGTCCTGTTCTTGAAGCCTCGTCCAAGGCGCTCGGTCCAGGGAATGCACTCCATCACCACCTCCCACGTGCTCCATGTACAGATCGTGTTTAGACAAAGTGGAAGAGCACGCAAATGCATCCAAGTCAGCACCTATCCAAGTCCTTCTGCCTGTTCAGCTTCTCGGCACGAATATGCTGCACCACTTCCAGGAATGGACCACACCGAAAACATGCCGACTCACAGGGTCGTCCCTTCCTTCTTTACAAGTGGAGAAGCTTTACGTTTCATCCTTCGCACAGGCCAGCCCAGCCTGGTCCAGGAAGTGTGAGGCAAGCTGCAAAATGCTTCGGTGCCAAAGCTGAAAGCTGCAGAACTTGCAAATATTGCTACAATTCAACATTCTAGCCCAATTTTCACGAGCCCATGCTGGACTGAAAACAGAGGGTATTTGCGCCAGTTCCGAAGGGGACCTTGGATGCCCTGCGCGAGGACGTAAGGACTGCGCAAAGATTACGTAAGGATTGCTAGCAGAGAGGCATCCCGGATACTTTTTCGTTGTACTGCACGGAACGTGCTGAGGAAATGTATTTTGGGCTGTGGTAAGAAGGGTTTGACAAGAGACGGTCTTCACCTTGATGGCTCGAGTGCTCAAGTGGTGCCTACTGAGTTCTGGTGGGAACGGCGGAAGCGTTACAACTCGAACTGGACTTTTGTGGACAACTCCTAGAGTCTTGAAAAGTCTACTCCTTCCTCCTTTGCTGGTTCGGGGTCTGGTGTTTTTGGTTTCAGGTCTTCTTTGGGCTTGAGATGTCGGGTTTAGGGTTAGGCGCCTGCATGTGAAGTGTAGGGGCGCTGGCTTGTCCAGGGTTAGGGCCTCAGGTTGGTCAACTTTAGAACCTCAAACCTCTGGCTACACAGGAGCGCTATGATTCTGAATCGCTGTCGTACCGGGGCTGCTCTGAAAGGTCATGGTGTTTGCTATTCAGGCTCAGTAGTAAGACCCCAACTCAACTTAAAGGGTTACGCCTGGCGTTGCTTCGCATGAAACATGACATGTCGTCCGCGGCATTTTGCGTGTTAAGCCACTTGTCTGCTGAGCATTGAAGGCGGGTTCAGATTTCCTGAACGCGTCCGATGCCCGCTCGTGGAAGCACTATGTGGGCTGCATTGATGTTTGCTCTGCAACCATCCAGCAGGACAACACAATGAATTCACTGTTTGCGCAACTCTGCGCAATCTATGGTTGCGGTTTTTGCAGTATCCAACGATCGTTTCATTTAGAAAACTGAGCCTGAAGCACGTCAACAATGCGTGACTACGTATTACCACCCAAGCCACCGTGATGAAGCATTCCCTCACTTTGGCTTCCCTGCAAGTGGTTGAATCAAGAAGACATGGCGAAGTGTTGTTTAGCGTAGCTCAGCGTTATCCCACTCCAGCCTTGCTTTGCTGAGGTGCTGCGAGCCTTCTTGCCCTGAAGGCTACAGTGCGTCCAGCGGAAACATGTGGAAACTCCAGTGTTGGTTGCAGCGAATCCAAGTCACGCACCTTTCCCGCTTTCTTCTTCTTTTTGGTCTTCTTCTTCTTGACCTTAGTGACTTAGTGCCCAACTGCTTCCAATGACACACGCACCATCACACGCCTTTAAGCACCTGCCGCTGCTAAGCAGCACTGAGTCACTTGCCAGAAATGGATTGGACAGCAGATCCCTTGGATCACGCGCCATGCGATTGAACATCTTGGCTTTCAACAGCACTCGGCTTGCCGTGACTTGCAACCAAGCTGCGGATTTGTGTTCACTATGTAGATGCCGTTGAGGTGGCCAGGCTGGCAGCGTAAGCAGCTGAAGCTGACAGTGAACGAGCTCCTAAAGCCTAAAGGAGTCTGAAGCTGCAACAGCTTCACTTCGCTCGAACTTAGCATCGGGCATTAAGCTTGTGCGCAGGCATGACCAGTGCTCTTTCTAGGACCGCCACATTGACAGGATAGCTCCTCTCTGCATCTCCGAGCGTGCAGCAGGTCTCTCGCACCTTTCTTTACTGGCAGGTTTTCGCCCACAAGTCCTTCGGGCACAAACCCGCTTGATGTCCTCCACTTCTTGCAACTGCTGGAAGCGGATCTGCAGAACAGAAGGTCAGCTCACGTTCATGCTGCGAAAATTTCGAAGATGCTTGCTCACACGGGAAGGCGTTGTATGATGCCATTTGGAACTTGACGAACCAAAGCTGCACCACAAATTGCCCTCCGTGGCCGCGGGGCTTGGACTTGCAGGAAACGCTACGCATAAAAAACCCGAGCCATGAACTCGCAGAGGCTACGAAAGGGTGTGAGCTGGGTCCTTCTTGTACATTCAAAAGGACATGGCATGTCATGTGAAGATACCATGTGAGCTCTCAAAAAATCCCTCGCGTGCGATGCTGAACCTAAGGAGTGCACTGAACGTCTAGATCTCTCCTAGAGATTTCCACAAGCCAGCAGTGTGGCTTGAAAAACGTCAACTCAAGCTCCATCCATGCAATCGACATCATAGCCGCCTGGTGCATGGCATGACTCTTTGCTTCTTACGAACCGCTTGAGACTGTGGCTACGACAGCTAGCACATGCCGGGGTCCGTATACGCTGCTTGCGGGGGGCCACACAACAGCGCCCCCGCCCCCCCCACCCCCCGCCCCCACAAAAAAAACAAACACAAAATTATCTTACCTCGAACATCCCCACCCTCTCTTGGTAGAGATACTCTGCGGTTGGGCACTCCAGCAACACTCCAGGGAGACTCTGGGGCTGGGCACTCGGGGACACTCTGGGGTTGGGCACTCGAGGGTTGGGCCTCTGGGGTTGGGCACTCTGGGGTTGGGCACTCTGGGGTTGGGCGGTGGGAGACTCTGGGGCTGGGCACTCCGGGAACACTCTGGGGTTGGGCACCCCAGAAAGACTCTGGGGTTGGGTCTCTGGGGTTTTCTGGGGTGGGGCACTCCAGGGACACACTAGAGTTGGGCACTCCAGGGACACTTTGGGGCTGAGCAGTCCAGGGATGAGCGAGGAGTAGACCGGGCGAGGAGAAGAGTTCCGGGCGAGGAGAAGAATTGAGTTTAAAATCTAACAACCCCACACCGAGGGTGGGGAAATAGTCATATATAATACGCAATCAATCAATATATATATATATATATAATATTAAGCAAACAAATATACAATAAGCCTTCACGGAGGGGGGCGGTGTGGGGGCTTAAGATTGGCGGAATCAGTCTTTGAAGCGGGAGTGGAAGGGGGTCCCGGCAGGAAATTCCCCTGCAGCGACCCGTGAAGTAGTTGATTCTCATACCACTTACGGCCCGCGGTCGCATTTTGACCCACCTCAAAATTCTTGCGAGACAGATTGGGAAACGACAACTCCCGCACCCCCCCAGGGAGCTAGCTTTCGTGATTGGATGTGCAGCACGTCATCTCATGCTCACAGCATCTGGACGGCTTCCGGGGCCTCGTCCAGCGTCACGCCCGTCCCGTCAGGCCTCGAATGCACGGAAGCCCAGAATCGGGTCTCCGATTTCAACGGCTCTTTTGGACCAAGAGTCGGAGGAACCATCGGCGGATGAAGCTTCGACCACCTGGCTACAAAGTGGTGCAAAGCCTGCCATGCCAGCGTATGGCCATAGGAGCTGAGCGCATGGCCAGTCACAAACTCCCACCAACACGTCTGAGTCATCCTGTGACACAAAGCTCTAGCCTGCCCCATCCCATGTCCGGCTCAAAATGTGGATGGGCCATCCTCCATGCGAGGAACGGCTACATTGTCGTCCATGGTAGCCTGCACTCATGATGCCAGTTGCTTGTGGAAATGCCGAAGCGGCGTCTCAGGTATGGACATATGCACTGAGCCTCAGGATGCAGACAAATCTCAGTGAAGTGCTGCCACTTCAAGTTGCTGGTTTGCAGCAGGGATGCATGACAGCTTCTGCATCTTGCTCATGGGCCGGGTCGTCATCACCTTCATCTGCAATCCACAGCTACACACTTAAGACTTAAAACAATGGCCAGTCAAAATCACGACAGCTGCCTTCATCACCATTCTCTTCGTCAGAGTTGGGACGCTCCTGAGCTGCCGCGCATCAAACTCATGGCGTGTCATGGTGTACTTGTGGGACATATGTTGATACGTGTGTCCAGGATTTGTCCACGGTGTCTTGAGGCTTTGCCAGCACGTTTCGACTCCCCGTCTTTAAGCATGACAGAATGGCCATGTTCTTCCTTAGAATTGCTGTTGCAGTTCGCTTCTTGGACAAGTCAATGTCGGGTTTCTTCATCGGTGAACCATTCTTTCTACGCAAAAAGATGGACCACAGGCCACAGCAGTAAAGTGAAGCAATGCAAAGGGCGGCCGGAGATTTTCTTAAAGTGCCGCATCTTGCTGAAATGTGCCAGTGACGGCGAGTGATCTACAGAATCTAGTGAGGCAGGATGGATTTCATCGGATCTTGGGAAAATCTGGGGAACTGGCATGCCAAACCGATGGCCCCTGGCCCATGACAAGTCTCTCATGTATGGTGCCATCCAGAGGTAGTATGCTTGAGAGTGCGAACGAAAGCTAGCGTGGCCGCTGCTTCTGGCAGGCAGCGTGGTCGGCAGTTCTCGTGAATTCTGTTGCATTATCTCGATGATATTGAGGCAGGAGCAAGCTTTTGTGACAGCTGCGCTCCTTATGAGAATGAGTCTGCGAGCAGGAGTTTGGAGCAAGTATGCTTCCACCGTCTTTGCTAGAAGCGAAGTGAAAGCCGCATGACCACGGGGCTGTCCGCACATGCTTTCTGCTGTTAGTAGTATTCGTGGTGGGCCTGACTGTGTCCTGAAAAGGTCTTGAATGTGTCTTCAGGCTGTGGCAGGCAAAATATTAAGAAACAAAAAAATCATTTGGAGTGTCGTGGCCTCCAGCACCCTGACCTCTGAGTGACGGCTGCTGTACTCTCTTCTTGCGCGTAGTGAATTTTGACGATGTGCTCTCCGCATTCTTTGCGAGTGAGTGTGAACTCTCCCCAGTGTTTGCTGTCAGTTGTTGGAGCAGATGTGGCGGGCCTTCCGTTCTACCTTGTCTCTGATATAGACATGGTCCTGGCGTTTGTCCGTGGCTGTGTGCTTCTTGCTGTAGTCAAACAACTTGCTTCGCTGCCACCGACAGGGGAGAAGGAGCATCTCCCATGTATTTGATGGCTGTGTGTCCAGTCATTCCAAGCACTGGCTCGCGATTCCAGCTTCATTGGCCAACTCCATTTACCACATTTCTCCACTACGGCTGCGTGTGAGTCGGGGGTTCCGGCTTCTTGGAAGGCTTCTCCGAGGCTCGGGCATCTTCAATCAAGTGGGCGTGTATTCGTCGGAGGTGCGCAATCCTCTGCAAGTACTCGAAAGAGCACCGAATACTCTGACTCAAGTGCAAGACCTGTTTTTACAACAGCTCGCGGCACCTGGAGTTCAGCGCCTTCGGCCTCTTCTCACTTTTCTCGCTTTCCGCGAATCGAGCCGCAACCTGCGCAGAAGACATCAGAAGCTGTAGCAGCTTTAGCGAGAAAGTGCCATGAACACAGACGGCCATCTCTGGCCTGAAACGAGTAGCCTTTAGGCTGAGAGACGTCCACATGCACCGGCTCGCTCGGCCTGTCACCCAAATCGCACCAGCTATCCCAGCCAAGTGTGCATAGTGCCCACATGCTGTGAGCATCTCTAAACCGGGACCCTGCATTATGACCGCATCGACACTCTCGGTGGTTCCAGTGCTTTGTGTGGTTTTGTTGGGTGGCTCCGACTTCTCCAAACGCTCTGTTAGTCCAACTCTGCCAGTGGCTTGCACAGATTTCACTGCGTGCTTTGCTGTCTAGACAGCGGCTCAAAATCTTCGTTCACGCTCTAGTACATCTGGGCAAAATATAGCATGCAGCTACGTGCAACAGCCAGCCTGCGGTTGTGTTGCGCATTCCGAGGTACCGCATGTTCTTCCACCTTACAGCAGAAGCCGAGATTACCCTGCTCGTGTCATGGTCCGCCATGCTGCCGTCCTCGTCATCTGCGACAGTGGGATCGATGTCCTTTCGCTGAATACCGTCTGACAGAGGACTTCGAGCCACCCTCAATTGTGGAGAGTCCTCAAGCGCATCCGGTGGCTCCACATACCGTCGTCTGTCAAGCGCCTATACAGGAGGGAAGCAGAAATCAGAGAACCATCGAGCCGCATACGAGGTCTAAGGATACCTGAGGCACCAGCGCATTGAAAGCGACTTGCCTTGCGCAGCTTCAACTCTTCAACCCGATGCACAAACATCGACGTGCGCAGTGGCGCGAATGGACCCATGCCACTAAGTTTGGCGGCATGCCTCTGCATTCCTCGAAATCTCCTCTTCCACTCGGGCACGGCCTTGTCAAAGGAAACAGCTTAGCTCTTCGTAAAAGGATGGCCATCAGATGCCGAGTCTTGCGGCCCTGGACTTCCAGTCACGATTCGAAACGGCTTGGTGTCACCCTCCTTCCCTTGAAGTGTTTTCCTCCCCTTCCGAGCTCCACTGAGCTCCACTGAGCTCCGCTCGCTCCGCCCAGTCGCGCACGGCGGTTCGCTGCTCCTCGCCCGCAACCTCACAGAGACAGGGAGAGCCTCCCAAAAGGAGTCTGTTCCAAGAGTTACTCGGTCAAATCTCTTCACTGCAGCGTGGGGTTTAGTAGTGTATAAACGCGGGCACCTTGTCTGTAATGGCCCGGTTCCGTTTGGAGAGCCAGCGCCTGTAGGCATCTGCAGGCTGTTTCAACTGACCATAATCCCCTCTTCTACTCACAAGTCTTCACCTGCATCGACTCATCGGCTGGTGTTTTCAATCTGAGCTGCGGACTTCTCCATCCTGTGTTCCGCTTCCGTAGCCGGGTACGGAGGCAAACCTGACGCAAAGGAATTCGTTTTGCACGCAACGTGGAATCAAGGATGAACAACGGTATCCGCCAAAACACTCCAAGGCATCGGCAATCCTCTTTCGCGTGCTGAAACACCATCTCCCTTCCCTCTGACCTAGGAATCTGCAGGCGGGGTAGATGATCTCTGACTCAGAGACCATTTTCCGCCTTCTTACTGCACCAAAGCCGAATATCTTGACAGGAAAACAGCACACTCTGCATTGCATGAGGGAAACATTCGGAAGCATGCAACGCATCGTCAGAAAACTGTAAAGGGGAAGAAACACCAGAGGACAGAGAGGTGTGAACACAAAGAATTTCAGTAGAGCATTTCAAAAATAGCATTGCATCACGCGGAAGCACGCTTGTGTGTGTGTGGGGGGGCATATTGTATGGGAGATTGCAGCAACGTGTGGCGGGCAAGAAGGCTGGGCCGTCTGAGCCAGCAGTGTGTAACCTGCTAACCATCATTTGAAGCGTTCTGACAGAAACACGTGTTTGGGATTCCAGGCTCGAAAGAATGGAACAGATCCCAGGCCACCCAAGATAACCACAGAAATCCACATGTTTTCTGGGGCGACCCGGCGATCATGTAAGTGGCTATATCAAAATGAACCTCAATCTCATTGAAGCAACCACTTGGCTTCCCACTCCTCCAGTGTGTATGGCAGCCCAGGCACCTGTTGGGCACTCCATGCAACAAGATTTCACCACACGACGCCTTCGAAGCTCTGAGCCACAGAGTACAGGGCCCTCGAGGCGCCGACCGTGGAAGCATTGGACGCCGCTGAGTGCGGCCTCCGTGGTATGGCCACTGCCCACCATCATGCACCGTCATGCAGCATCGTTTACGGCCATCAGTAGGATGCCTGTGACGCTTCTCGAAGCTTCGTGGTGTCGCCTTTGCAAGTGCTATCTACACAGTACCACCACTGCCATGTTCAGCGAGCTGTTGAGTCGGGTGTTTCCAGTGGTGCAGTTGAACGCGCATCCCACGTGTTGTTGCTTGCTTTGCTCGCAGAGTGGGATGCCCCTAACTTGCAAAGCAAAAGACAAACTGTTGTACCCCTTCCCTTTCCATTGTCTGGACAGGTCGAGTCACATGACATGCCTGGAATAAGTTGTGCACACAGTTTAACTACTAAACACAGCTTGGCTTCGTCTCCCGCAGATCAGCATAACGAAGCGAAGACAGTATTTACTTCACCCGGAGATTGCTTCAATCTTGAAATAAGAGACGAACAAATTGAACAGCCTTGATAGAGTTCCCTTCGAAAGCCTACCTATCTAGAGAAACTCAAACGCCATCAAGAAGTCACATACTTGAAAACATGAGAGAGATTCGTCACGCGGTTGAAGCATGACAGCTACACGGCAGCAATCAATAGCGGCAGACGATATGTATCAGTGCTTGAAAACTTTGCATAAAAAGGAAGCAAAGCAAGCTATTTGTGGTTGCTTTCTCATCCGCAGTGGACGTGTGCAGAAAAGTCGATGACTGCAGAAGCATAACGCACTACCTGAGCAGATGATGTATCTTTGCTGTCCTAACATGCTATTATGCTTTTTAAACTGTATCATGGGAGGGCTGATCTACCACACCCAGCCGTCATCTGAATCTTGCTCTGGTGCTCTCGAAGGAAATGGAAGGATTGGTTTCTTCTCTCACAGAACTCCCCCCTAGAATCATGAAGCCCGAATGAGGCTATTTAATCACCCACTGTTTTTAACGGAAGGCATACTTCAGAATTTTGGAAGGATTCGAACACCGAGCTTCCCTGCTGGCTGGTAATCTTCTCCTGCATTGGATCTGCTGTTGTGGCTCGGCTTTCCGTGTCTTTGTTTTCCGGTTGTCGTGACTTGTTCAAGAAGGCCAAAGCATTGTGTCAACCTCTCCGCTCCTGCCCTAAAGCTGGAGGCTGCCCCTCGTCCCTCACAGCAAAGTCCCTTACAAAGCTGAGTGCACCTTACCAGACGAAGCTTTCTACAATCGAAGACGCGGACTTACCACAACCAAAGACAACCCTACCACAATTGAAGCTAAGTTTTGAGGGTCTAGGAAGAGTCTAGACCTGAGATGGTAAAAGGGCTTGGAGCTGCAGCGGACTGGAAACACTGCCCCAAGAAAACTACAAATTTGGAGAAATAACACCACTGTGGTGTAGCAGCAAAACTGGGCATGGCTTTTTGTGTTGGTATTCTGGCGGGCTCCCCTCTCGGGGCTCTGGAGCCTCATCTTAAATCTGCGGTTTTCGGTTTCTTTTCTTATTCCGGGCAGTCTCGCGGGGATTGCGGTCTGGGTAAAATAGACAAGCTCAATTTCCACCACCTTCGACCTTACAGAAAGCTATGGAAGACAGCAGCACAACTGGCTGACAAGTGTTCGGTGGAGACGCAGGAATGATTCCAGCGTGGTTGTAGCATTCAAGCATATGGCAGCTCCAAGAATCTGCAGGCCTAAACTGTCTCAAGGCCAATGAAGGGAAGCTTCGCTACCAAAGCAGCTCAGTCCGGCGCAGCTCGTCCACTAATGGTGGTTTGACCCTGACAATCCAGGTATCCCGGCCAATTTGCAAGCTGAAGCGCTGAAGCCAGCAGGCCACAACTTAAGACAACTTAAGGACCCCGCAATGCTCATAGCCGACGTTGGACGCGATACTGAGCATGCACCGGCCAGTTCTGCTTCAAAATCCGGCACTATGAGACCGCTAACGGCTAAAGGCCTGCCGTGTGTGCCGGGGTGGGTGATCTTGCCGAAAACTTGGTGTAACATTTGCACAACATTTGCACAACCTCTACACGCAGCATGCTTACCTTTGGACATGCACTGAGGCCAGCTCCATTGATCGTGCGGTGAGGCCTCACTGCACTATGCTCACGGATTCCATCCAGAAAGCAGCGTTGGGGCACGTTGGCGTGACAGTTCACTGCAGGGTTCTGAGTTCTGAGATGCTGTAAGGATGAGAAGCGAGGCCTCCGGATGTTGTGGATGGAGTAAGAGGTCGCTCGTGCTCCATCTCTGCGCGATGCTCCAAGTCCTGGACGACGTCACCAAGTCGGGAATCAGCCCCGAGCTGAGCAGAATCTTCACAACATTTCACAATGCAGTCGCTGCAGGTGACAGTCCTTCAATTTTCTGGCCGTGAGTGGCCGAACTAGCTGCTTGGTGCTGAAGTCCTGCCACAGGTACAAGACACCATCGGAAACCTCCTTCATTTCTATCGAGCTGTTCCTACACCGATTGAAGAAGCAACAATCTCTGCCATCACGCCACTTGCAACTCCAGCGCCACAACCACGGTCAGTCTCCCTGTTTTCTAAACTTGCACGATGCACCCGCGAGAGACGAAAGCTCTACTGTAGCTTGCGGCTGGCGGCGTGCAGAGCTGGAAGGCACGTGCGAGCAGACCCACCCCTTCAACAACATTCTGCTGGACCGCCGTGCAAGAAGCTGAGGAACTAGAACTCGCAGAGTTGTGTGCTTCATTGTGTTTCTCTTTCTTCCTGCCCGCTTGGAACCTCCAAGCGAGTAAGCAGCTTCCTGACAGGAACATACCCGGAATTGGCTCTGCCCCCAGATCCCCAAGCGCTTTCGTTCACAGTATCAGGCGAAGCTGCTACAAGGATGTTAGTTGCATCCAGCCACCACAACACGCGCTTTAGAATTCAGAGCGTTGGACAAGAAATTCAGTAGTGGGCAACGTGTGCAGTGTGTGCAATGTGGGCAATGCGGGCAATGTGGGCGATGTGGGCAATGTGCGCGACGTGGGCATGAGATGACAAGAGGAAGCCCCGAATAAAGACCCCAGTGAGGTGCCAGCCTTGAGGCGCTCCCTCGGCGAGGCCAACTTCACCTCTCTCTTCTTCTTCTTCTCCCTGTGTCTCTCTCTCTCTCTCCCTGTGTCTCTCTCTCTCTCTCTCTCTCTCTCTAAACACACCGGCGGTGAAAATTCAGAAGGCCGCTCCATCGCCATAAGCAGTGCTTGCATTCAAAAGCCGAGTCATGCTGAGCTCCACCAGCCTGAACTGTATGACGTCCGGCAACTGTTGGAAGTGAAGCCGCAAGCGCCTACATGGAGCTGTGCAATGTTGCAAGTGCTGCGAGTTGCTTGGTTGATTTGGTTGCTTGGAAGGCTAGGTGGCTTCGGTTTCAATATGGCCACTGTCTGCGCGATACAGTCGACTGTCTTGTCTGCGATACGATGAACTTCTGCATGAGATGCAGGAGGTAGTTGAAGTTCCCAAGAGACTTCTCACGTTGAACTAGTAACTCGCCTCGAACTTGTTGCTGTCGTGGGAAGTGGACCGTCCCGGCCGCTCCACCTCCACGGCCTCGAAGTATGCAGAACCAGGCGGAGCTGGGTGTCGCAGCACCTCTTCGGCACAGAAATCGTGGAATCCTGGTCCCGAATGTAGCGGCTGATGCGATGGCCTTCGTGCCTTTTGGTACCATTTGTATGCCTCATCGAGCTGCCTTTCGGCTGCATCGGGATTGGTGCACATAAGCACGGAGTCGAGAAGCTTTCGGATTCCCTGACGCACGTGTGCATGCCAAACAGCTTTGGTTTCGCTGCCTGCGCTGGGATTCTCGGATTGAGGATTCAGAGAGATAAGCGCATCTTTCATCTCCTGAAGCCGTGGATCCTGCTGTACCCTGAGAAATCTTTGGGCACTGCCAGCCATAAACGAGGAGCTCGCACCGGGACCACGCTTTGGTTTGGCATTGGACGATGGGTAATTTCCTGAACCCACTTGTTCCTCAACAGCTTTACGCTCCTCCTGCGCCTTTTGTAGCCTTAATGCTACATCTTCCAGCTGCAAGTCTACCGGCAGGTTTGGCAATACAGTCCAGGGCAGGTTCACATCTGGTCCACGGTAGCTGTTGATTGGCAAATTCAAGGAGGGGCCAGGCCCTCTCATCGCAGAGGCACTTGATGACATCTCGGCAAGGTATGCCATGGAAGCTAAGCGGCAACCAGCATCTGGAAGCTACACACTTGCTTCGGTCAGCTGACCCCTAGATGGCAACATTCCTAACAAGTCCCCTTTCGATGGTGGAGGCTACTGACTCGCGACATGAAGCGACGTGCCGTGTCTTGCTACGTAATGGGGCATGTACGAGCACAGTTTCTGCTCGATGCTCGCCCCTTGCGTAACGAGATGGCAGCGATGGCGGCGAATGGTTCACAACAGAGCATGCGGGCCAAGAGGCTTCTGGAGGTTGCTGGAGGCTTCTGGAGGCTTTACCCACTGTGTGAAGTTCCCCACTCGTATGCCGAAAGTCTACGCAGGCACACCGCCGGGCCCTTGTTGTGCGGGTGAATTGGGGCGATGCGGCCCGGATCGAACGTTGGGAGCCGGGGTTGGCCGAAACGAAGCAAAATGTCACGGTCCAGCCGATGCCCGAAGCCCACATCTTCAACCCAAACCTGCCAAACTCGACACATCTCGAAACTGTGGCTCTCACAATCTCTCACATGACTCCCAAAAAGCTGGAGACTTTCACGAATCTTTCACCGCTACTCGAGTCGTAGTTTGCGACCAGTGCTACCACCTCTTTATGGGGCCACCTGATAGGTGAAACGAGTTGTTCGGACAACTTCGGGACAGTTCATCAATAAAGTCTGCACCATCATTGACTGGGCGAGCCAGCCACTGCAGACCGGGAAAGTGATTAAGGGTCTCAGTGTCCCCAGTTATTGCCTTTTCTAACTGGTTAAACCTTGGCCTTTCAGCAGGATCAATCCGCCACAAGGCATTGATGAAGCCCTTCAGTTCCTCTGGGAACTGCGGATAGTACCCACAAGTGGCAATTTTTCGCCACAAGTCATCATTGCCCGTTCCACTGACGTCATCCCAGCTTACAACCCCACCTCCCGCACTGAAGGCCGGAAGCTTCCCATGGAGGTAGAAGGCAATCACTCCCACACTCCAGACATCGGACCATTCACAGTCATAGGCTCGGCCTCCTGATACTTCTGGTGCGTTGAACGCCGGCGTTCCGTAAGGATTTGTCGTGGTAGCTCTTGCAAGCGCGAGTGCGGATGGCGGGCTTGGACCTCCCGCTTCTCTGACTCGCTTTGCATGGCCCATGTCGATGATGACAATACGGCCTTGCTCGTTGATGAGAAGATTCTCCTTCAGTGGCAAACTTTCGAATCAGCACTCTCTCACACGGAAAATGGGCAGGCATCGGCGAGTACGGCGAGTACTCTATTTCAGGTAAAACAAAAATGCAAGTAGGGCAAATGTCTGGCCCAGGCTCGGGCTTCAAGTCGCGGTGCGTCACTCCGTATCTATAGCATTCAGCCATGCCGCTGATGACATCGTGCAAGATCCGTCTCGAGGTGCCCTCACTCAAAGGCTTGCCGGCAACGGAGGGCTCCGGGGAAGCCAAAACGTCGAAGAGCTCACCATTTGGAATGTGCTCCATGAAGATTATGTGGTGAGCCGGGGAGAGCTGCTCATGCACGTCCAAAACGATCATCTCGTACCTCAGGCTTGTCCCAACCCCGCTCCCATCAGCATCTTCAACAGTCCATTCAACAGCCTATCGGAGTCTATCGGAGTCTATCGGTCTACGTCATCTGGACGTCGAAGCGGCTTGATGAAGTTGTCGTGAATTACCAGCTGGCGTGGAAGTTCTTGGACAAGCTTGACTTCCATGGAGTCGAACTTGTTGCAGAATTTAGCCTTGAGACATACCAAGGGGAACTTGGAAAAAACAAACGAAAAACAAACAACCCTCTTCATCCCTCTTCGGCACTGAGCCAAGCTGCAGCGAACTTCTCCCCGGTTGCAGTCCTGCACTTCGTGTTTGATAGCTGGCCAACCACTTTGGGAAGCACTTGCTGAGTCCTTTTAACCAGATAAGTCTGCCCCTCCGCGCCGTAATTCCTAAGTCAACAGGCAGATGAATGGCACGCAGGGAAACTTCAGGCTTTTGCCGTCAAGGTGCAAGAACTTGTCCACCTTTATTCAGCAAATGCAACTGCTGCTGCATTGCCTGTGTGCAGTGCAAGGATGCTTAAGCCCAAGGCAGACCACTCATCCCCTGCAATGTCCATCGCCATCTGGCCATACCAAACCTTATGCAGAACTTGCTTCTCGCAGACATCGCCTATGTCGGTAGGTAGGACAGATGCACATGCTGTGGCAACAGCTTTGCCTATGAGGCTTGCAAATCACTGCGACACTCGCTCAGAACTTGAAGTACAATGCCAGGTGGCTCGGTCTGGAGCAGGGGTGAGTCCATCGAAATTCAGCTCTGACCGGCTCTTGATCACAATGTCACCTCAAAAACAAGCATCACTGATCTCATCACATCATCATCACGGTCATAACGCCTGCCTCACCCTGGGACCCTGCATCAACCACCAATTATGTCAAGAAGCAACCTCGAAACACAGGAATGCCACCAGCCGAAGCACTCCTCACAAGCAACGGTTCTGGCATGCCCAAAACATGGTCATGCTTGGGTCAAGCTTGGCAAGTCATCCTGTGCAAAAGCGGAGGCGGTGGAGCTGGCGGCGTCTCTTCTGCCATGGCCCCAAATTGTTGCTGACAGTTACTCTCTACAGCGTAGACAGAGACAAGAAGACTCTGGCCCTGTAACTATTCCTGGCCCTGCTGTCGTCTGCACTTCTAGAGGTCGACCAAACCGAGACTGACATTCAGAAGCTTGCTAAGCAGCGGGAGCCGAAACGAAAAGAGAAGTGCATGGCAAGCAGTGGCGCTGGCAAGGTTCCGCAAGGTTCCACTTGGAAGCCTCATGTCGTCCATGCAACTTCTTTTTCGCTATCGAAAGCCGAAAGCTGCTCTGGGCCGTGAGACGATGCTTCGATACTTGCTGAGTTCTCTCAAGCTGGTGGCGCCGGCAGTGCTGGCCACTCCGGGTCCGGGCCCATTCGCGGTCGCACGTCCTTTGGCAACCGGGATACCAGGAAGACCGGTGGAGAAACGACAAATATCTAAGAAGTTCAGTTAGCAAGTTCACAGCAGCAACGTGACTGCTGCCCAGTCGACATCTGCGTCTTCCGAGTTTTTGGTCTCTTAGAGTGTTTTCCAAGCTGGCCTCCGCCATGGCCGGTACTGCCTGCATGCAGGTCCAACGTGCAAGTGCTGAGGCGAGTTCGTGGCACTGCTTGGCACTGCTTGTGGAAAGGGAGGTACACTTCCACGTCCCCTTTCCCAACCCCTATGGCTTCACACTGGTCGGGCACAGGGACGTAGTCGGGAGGAAACAATGATACGGTACATGCCCTTGTATGCACATCTCATGCAATGCTCAAGAAGGCAATTGAACCTATAGCCTTGCATGGACCATAATAAAAATGGGGTATGGCTCTGAAGCTATCTGCTCTCCATTTTCGCCTCCTCCTGAACTTTCGGAAACCGCATCGAGCTGAGACGCTGCAGAAGCAGCACCTCAGCCAAGATCATCCGCTATTGAACCATCATTTGCCTCTGCACGAATCATAGCGAAGCTCAACGTCAGGCACCAAGGGCAGTGCTGATGCCCATGCCCATAGCCTTTTGGATCACGCTGTGTCTGCTATTCCCTACATGCAGAATGGTCTTCCATGTCACTCATGGGCACTATCTCGGACCCGCACACAAAGGCTCCTACAATGCATGCTGCCGCCACTCCTGGAGCAGCTTTCTGAAGCGCGATAGCTTGCGTTTTGTATCAGGTGCACGACCCAAATGCCTGCATGCGTCTGACTGTAGTGCTAGGACACATGAATCAGCATCCAGTCTGCAGGTCGATCCTGCGATGAGCTTCGATTTGACTGATGGATATCTGGCCTAAGGCCGTGGCGTGGAATAGAGCAGACACACACACACACACCAATCAGGATGACGGGGAATCAGAGCATCGCTTAGCTAGTCACTTGCCGTCGTCGGCGACGGGCCACGCGCTGGCCTTGCATCCAGACGCAATGCTAGGCTTCTGTGCTGCGCACCAGTCAAGGCTAAGCACCACGCTGAAAGGCAAGTGCTGGTACCCCATCTCGACAGGCGTCAGAAAGATTGCATGATCAATGAGACTTCCGAAGCCCGAAGCTGTCGGCCTCCATCTCAGCGGCGTCATCGTCACACTGTGTGGTCACCTACAAGAGAGGTGAAGTTCGAAACGAAGGAAGAGCTCCACAATGCTACATTTTGCCACCCGTGCAGGGCGGAAATCCCTTCTCACTTGCATGCTGAGCTCTAGCCCCCGAGAGACGCGAGTACTTCGATATCCAGCACGGTTCATGGTGGGATTCGTGCACGTGTAGGTCGACCAGCAATTGATGGAGTGAAAGTATGATGTTTGAGGTTTGCAGTGACCTTGAGGGCTCTTGAGCGGGCCTGGCTGTCTGGGATCCTAGAACTTCCTGGTTTGCTCAAGGCTTTAAAGTGAGAAGATCTGGTTTGGGCATGTTAGGCTTCAGTCGTTGTTCAGCGTGCGGGCTTTTGATATGAACAGCTGAAAGTTGGCACAGGTTTTAGAGTCTTTGAAGTTCAGGTGATTGTCGTGAGGTGTGATTGAAACTTCTGTTTGAGTTTGTGATTTAGGGTGGGCTAAGGACCTCCAGTTAGGGGTTAGGATTTCTACTTTTGCTTCAAGGCGCTGCAGCACACAACCAGCCGAGAAAGACAAAGCTGGACAGCGAAAGCCAGATGGGGACTTCGCTTGAGAATTCATGAGGTCAATGATGTATCCACCAGCTCGTTTTCGGTTCTGCTTAACAAGACAAAAAGCCCCAGCCCACCTCAAGAGACACGTACGCAGGGCCCTTGGATGTGCCAGTCATTGCTGCTAAGGAAGTGCTGGGTGGCCCTTGACACAGATGTGACCGCTGGTCGTGTGGCTCTGCCAGAAGGCTACAATTTCAACTGGGGTCGCATGGCTAGCATGGCTACCGCTGTAAACCAATACTCGGCTCGACAGAAGCAGTTGATGGAATGCATGGACGCTTGAGCCAGCAAGCAAAACCGCGTGCTAGATCATGTCGCTCGGCTAGAGTACAAAGGCTCGCTGTGCAAAACCACATCTTCGCATATTTTCGCCAAGCTGGCACCGATTCCCCCACCTAAGCACCTTCTCGTGTGGACGGTCCTGATCCACACAAGCTCCTACATCCAGGCAATCCAGGCACCCAGTAGCCTGCTACTTCGCACACATCCACGCAACTTCAGGGGCTGCACCCTGAGCTGTTCAATATGATTACCTGCTCAGGTGCTGCTGAGCGCGGGTATGCCGAAGCCTTCGGGACCTTGTCCACCAGCAAATTGACGCAGCATGGCGATGTTGTAGCCGATTTGAAGGAAACCTCCAATTCCTGAGAAAGCCACCTGAAAACCGTTCGTGCCAGGAAATGCAGAGGCCCCACACAATCTCGCTGTGGTTGTCACTCAACGCAGCACTCAAGCGCTGTAAGAGCTGTCAAGCGCTGCAAGAGCTGTCAAAGTTCAGCGTGTGGTTCCTGACAGAAGTTTGGGTGACGCTGCCAGGATCTGCCATGCCTTTTCCAAACCGCTGCCGTGCCTTCGGGGTCTCCGACGTCTCCGAGGTGTCCGGGGTCTCCGAAGTGTCCGGGGTGTCCGAGGTCTCCCGCTGAATGTCTAGGGAATGAGACACCTCTAAGTGCTTGACTCGAACAGGAACATGCTGAAAAGCCATGACATAAGCATCAAGTCAATGATCACACTTGCAGTCAAGAAGCAGGGACATCAAACCGAGCTGCTTGCTCTTCCGCTTTCTTCTGAAAAGCTTCTTCTATACTACCTGAGGTAAGTCGGGAGTTCGGAGAGCTCATTTACAAGGACTGCAAGCAATTCGAGGCCGTTCACTGACAGTTCACCATGTGCTGAACGAGGTGCTGTTCATGAGAGGGTAGCCGCGGTCAACCATCTCATAGATGCTGCTCATATCCTTCGCACTGTCACATGGTGCTCTATGGCGTTCTACCCAAGTGTCAAACTGCAACCTTATCACCTTATCCGACAAGCCGACGAACTGCCACCCGTGCAGCTCAGCTTCAATTGCTCGGTGCAGGCCCTTGCAGAGATCTCCGGACTTGTACGATGATCCTCTGCAAAGCTCGACCGGATCTTTTGTGAATCGCCTTCACGCTTGGCGTCAGAATGCGCCATAACACTGCTGCAAGGGCTACACAGAGTTATCCAAAGCTCAAATCACGTAGAAATCAATATGGAAGCTAAGTAGCTTGGTTTGAGAGTTGTAAAGATGAAGGGACCAGCATCGGCTCCAGTCCACGAGCCCGGACTCTTCCATCAACTCAACAAAGTCTGACGCGTGCCATGAAGATGCAAAGAAGCCGCTGCTGTGCGCTAGGATGGCAACTCCTTGTGGCCGCGTGTCTGCCAGCACATCATCAAGCACGTGCCTAGGCAAACGCAGTTGCAATTTTTCAGTGCTGAGCAGACATCCACCATGAAGTAGGCAGTCACCGGTGAGCTAGACGAGATTCGCCTCGGCCTCCGGCTAGAACAAGCAGACCGGGATCTGGTCTTCTTCCCCCTTTCAAACCCCAAATTCGCCTCTGCAATCCCATTCCCACAGAGGCTGAGTTTTCGGTTCTCCTTTGGGACGCCCTTGGACCCTGGGACCCGCTCTTTCACCCGGTTGTGACCGAATCCCCCCCCTCGGACGCCTCTAAAACTCAAGCCTCCCTTTTTGAACGCAAAGTTTCGGGTTTGTTTGTGGTTGTTTTTCTCCTCGGCCCGCGGTCGCTCTCCATAGCTTCAACCCGACCGTGCGGACTGGCAACTCCAAAGTGCACCTTCGACATGCGCGTCCCCTGGCTTGAGCTGGCCCGGCGGCCGAGGCGGAAGCGTTTACATCTACACTTCCATCGTCCTCCTAACCGCAACATATCGCACCTTGTCTTTTTCTCATTGCCCCAGTTGCTACCGTGCCCTAACGACACGGCGACAAGTGCAGCGGCCGCCAGGAAAGGTTCACGTGTGGGAGCGACAGGATAGTCAAAAAGCCAAAAACCAGCAAAACCAACAAAACAATTTGAACTACACATACCTCGATCGTCCCCAACGTGCAGCTAACCGATGTGGAAGCGATCCTGCCGTTCCGGATAATAGCTGGATAAGGATACTTCTCCGCAGGATGTGTGGCGGGCTCTCCGCCAAACCCTCTAGGGGGTGGGCACCAGGGATACTCGGCGGGACTCTTGCTTGCGGGATGGGTGGGCTCCACACACTCTTTGCAAGATTTTCTAGGGGTGGGACCCTGGTACTCCAAGGATACTCCGTGCGAGTCTTCGCGGGATTGTCTGCTTCTGGGGGTGGGCACTTGAAGAAGGAAACTCTGCGGGGCTGTGCGGATTTTTTGGCAATAGCACTCCAGGCACTGACTGTTCTGGGGTGGGCACTCCAGGATCAGGTCAGGAGATCGGGCGACACCCCGAGTAGAAAGGTCGACTTAAAAAATCTGCCCCCCCCACCCCGAGGGTGGGATAAATAAACGGAAGAAGTGCATATGACGAACGGAAAGAACGAGCGGAAACAGCAACTTCTTTGGGTGGCCTGTAAGAAAGGTGGAAAGAGACCTGAGTCTCCTGCCCAGCATGTACTCCCCAGGATCCAGTGTATGCCCGTTGCATGCGCTCGAGAAGAGGTGGCAAGAGCGGAGACCTCTTCTCAAACATCATCAAGCCCACTGTAGCTCGCAGCTCCGTTCCACCTTGTCGTGCCAGCACTGCTCTCCATCGTCTAAGCTCCGTGAAGCTGCAAAGGGACAATGCGTCGGTGTCCATGTAGATACCTCCCCACTCATAGAGGACTTGAATGCGCCTGAAGTCGGCTATGAAAGCAGGATGGCGGAGCCGAAGTCCATTCAGCGAAAAGGGCACAGCCGAACGTGGAAACGGCATCACGGCAGTGATGAAAGCTTTGGCAGCCTGCCACCAGTGATCAAAAGTGCTGGGTTCGACTCCATCTAGTACATGGACAAGCAGTTGGTCAGGCTTCAGTTTCTCCCACGCACTTCGGATGGCTGCATAGCACGGCCAGTCAAAGAAGCGCGTGTTGCGGTCGGTTAAAACGAAATGAACGATGTTAGGAATCGGGAGGTTCCACGAGGCACCAGACTCACCAAACCCTACAGAGTTGCATTCGCACTTAATGCTTGACTCGCCTGACTGGCGTTCTCTTTGGCAGGTCACCGTTGCTTGGCAGGGCTCCCATTGAAAGCCTTCCTTGCTCCGATGCAAGTGCAGTGCTGCAAACTCAACTCCGCCGTCCACCAGATGAGGTGGTGACGGCCACAGCAGAAGTCTCCGTCCAGCATCGATTTCATACGCGACGCCGAATGCATCGCCTCCCTCGGATGGAACACATGCAAAGCTCCATCCGTGGCCGAACTCTGTGTAGCAGTCAGACGAGTTCTTCAGTTCGTGCACCTCCATGTTCCGACGCTCAACATCCACGAAGGGCAAACCCTGACTTCCGTGTACCAAAAGCCGCCCTTGCTTACGAGACAGCTTCTGCACGTGGTATCCAGATAGGCGTAACCACCTGGGTTCAATGAGCAGTATGCTGAAATCAACCCAGATGCGTGCGTTCCTCAGCGCAGCATACCATATGGCAAGCTTCTCGTCAAAGAAGAGGTTTGCCTCTGACAGAAGCCCTTCTACATAGCAGCCCCCATAGTTCACATGGCCTTCACCTTGCAAGCAATCACCCACAAAGTGGCGCCAAAGCTCCGCGTTCTTGAAGACGGTAAGTTGGCCTGACAAGTACAAGGCTGGCCGGGCCCCATCCGGGAAGGAGATCACATCGTAGCTTAGGATCTGAGGGGTCAAGAACGTCTCCAGCCTTCCCCAAATCATGTCCAAATCTGTCCAGCCCCAGTGCGAAAAACCCTGAAGCTCCTCCTCGAAGAGAGCTCCATACAGAGGTTTCAGGTCGTTGCCCTTCGCTGGATTGTCATCAGCATAGCACTCTGCCACACGGCCTTCGAAGGATGCAAAAGGCATGGCACCGAAGGCTTTTTGCACTGCTTCGGTCTTCCAGAGTCTCATGGCCAAGCTCTTCAAGGGCAAGTGCCTGAAATGCACGTGCTTCCATGTCCGGGTAGGTGCCTCATCATGTGTGTGAAAGATGAAGAACGTCGCTCCAGAGTCCTGGGCCGTATCTGCAAAAGCATCCACAAAATGAGGCAACCTGCCCAGCCAAACGACCACCAGCGCGATGGACAAGGACAAATCTTGCGCGTCCCCTGTGCCCTCTGTGACCATGCCTTGGCTTTGGTTAAAAGCTGGCGTCCATCGTCGCGACCTCGAGTCTAATGGCAAGGGTCCAAGCTCGCGCACCTTCGCAAAGGCGGTCGTGGTTGTCAGTGTCAGCCTTTCACTCTTCTCGCTGGTCCCCAGATCAGCACAGCTACCTTTGACCATCAGAACTGTTGACCTGTGGCAGGCATGCTTGGTCTTCCGTGGAGGACTGCCGCTGCACATTTCCAGTTGAATCTGTTTGCCGCACAGCCGGCTGGGAACTTGCCAATCGAATGTTCCAGTTGCCTTTGTGTTGCCGGTGATCGAATCCAAAAAATTGCCTGAACTGTCGCGGACATATCCCCACGAGTACCAGCCTCTGTCAGTCCCCACGAAATGGCTCCACCGCAGTGTAACATTCTCGCCAACGCTCAGTTCTTGAGCAACATGTGCCTTGCAGCACCAAAATCAATCCTACGTCTGACAAGACAGCACCACCTGGGCCTGGACAAAACCTGCAACTCTTGCGACACAAGTGTCTGCTCCACGCTCCACCCACACATGGTCAGAGTCTTCTGTGACATCATGCGCCCTCGTTAGTGCGAGACCACACAAGATCGCAGCCGACAGCATCAGCAGACACTTCTCAAGACACCAGTTTGCCTAGCTGAGTAAGGTCTCGCGATTCTATGCGAGTCGAGCATGATCTAGCAGGTGTACCTGACAGTTCTGGGCTTCTGCAGATTCTGCGGCGACCCCTCGCACTGCAATGGAAGACATGTTGTCCTTGAATCCTCGAGCCTTAAACATGTGCAGCCGTGCATTTCCCAGCTTGCCACTACATGACTGACAGTTGCTTGCCAATTCATTCTCAGGAGCGCATGTTAAGCTCAACTGGCACAACAGCAGAGTGGTAGGACTTTGCTTCTGCGCGGATGGTCAGAGCTATGCCAAAGACATTTGCCTGCTAGAGCGTGGTGCCAACCGTATGATAGCAAACAGGATCTGACAGTCACATTTTTGCTTACAGCTTCACGGAATAGATTCTGATTCATCACAGCTTCAAGTTAAAGAAGAGGACCTTCCGCTATCCTCAACCCCTTCAGGGTTGCCCAAGCTTTGTGTGCTGTCGGGACGGCGGACCTGGGCAAACATGCTCTTTGCGTCTCACAACACGACTCAATGAAGACGCCAAAAATGAAGACGCCAAGTGCCCGGCCGAAAGCTTTCTGCAGATGTCTAGAGCGCTGACACTGGTGTCGAGATGAGATCCACATGACGGCAGTGCCCGACACAAACCATCACAGAACACCCGCCACAAGACTCGGAAATAAGTATTCGGATGTGCTGTGATACTTGGGGGAAAGGCTTCAATGCTCGAATACTCGCAGGTGGATCTCGCAGTGGCTTGGGTAAGACCTGTGAGCATCTGTGAGCGTGCACCGTTATGATACAGGAACCGGGATCCCGGCAATGCAAAGCCAAATTCATGCAGTTTCGAGAATCGGCAACGACACCCTTTGGATGTTTGGCCGTGTGATACATGCTCCGTTGCATTATCATAAAAGGCACGCTGTCATGTTGGCGGCATGAGTCTTCCTCTGCTCAACAAGAAGGCAGTCCGCTGCCAATATGCCTTGTATGCCTCGTATGCTTGTATGACTTGAAGCCCATCCGCCAAGTACCCCTCGCGATTCTTGAGGGTCGCGCCAACATTTGTCAAAGAAGTTGTGTGAAATCTAATTCGTCTGGTGTGCCAGTGCTGTCAGTCAGTGTCAGCGGGCCTGGGGAGCTAAGGACACTACTTCATTGGCGTGCTCTTCTTATCTGGCACACCTTCGCTTCGCGCTTTTGCGCATGCCTCCAGAAGCAAATCGTTGCTTGAGCAGGATCATGGTTCCAGCTTCGGCAATGCTGCATTCCCAAGCCTGCCTCAGCTCACCAAATGGCAACCATGCATACATGCATGTCATAGTTCTGCAACCAACTGTTTCAACTGAATTTGGAGAGTCTGGACTGCAACATCTCTGGCCCAGAGAAGCACACCTTAACAGCTCTTCTCCGTCAGGACGTTCCATGAGGAAAGGCCCACGTATGTCAGCCACAAGCAGACCTGAGATTTTGGTAGATCCAGTCAGCATGCACAGGCACTGTCATGACCTAGTATGATCGAAGCCTGTGCATGCAGTCCAGATGTTGCGTCATCAAAGCCTCTCCTACCATCCACATCCATCCCACCATCATGCAATTGCTTCTGCGAAAAATGTGAAAACATGTCTAGCGCTTGGGCTGCACTGGCTTGTGTCAATTCTTGCATCCTACCTTCGTCCTCTGTGTATGTGTGTGTGTGTTATTGTTTTTGATTTCTGGGGCAGAAGCTGATGCCGGCACTGGGCAGTTGAGGGGCTTCGCCGTAGTCGCAGTGGGCGCTAAAGCTGTGTGTCGTCAATCAGGATCATCATTTTCGAGCAGTGTGGCCGTACATGATACGAGTAGTACGCGTAGAGGCCATGCTCGTAGTGCGCACACGCCGGCAGCGGTCTGCATGGAAACATGCGGAAACCCGCCGCGGGCTCGGGTTCAACCCCCCCCTATTTCCTCACCCCGTGCCCGTCGACCCTGCCCCCCTTACGCAGGTTGTTGTTGCTTGCTCGTTTCTTTTGACCACTCTCCCATTTGGGGTTGCCTGATCTAGACATGAGCCTGCGTGTTACAACAAAAGCCTCAAAAGGGAATGATTGCACGAGAAGCCCTGAATCCTAACAGCAAGGGTTGCCTCGCTGGGCAGGCGCCGGCCAAGGCGGGTCGCGCAGCGATAAAATGCGATAAACTAACCAGCAATTTGATGGCTGCATACGCGTGTAGCACAGATTTAAGTCATTAAGTGATCTAGCTTGTCTTCGCTTACAGAACTGGGACAATCGACAAGCAGCTTCGGCCTGCACACAGAGTCACACGCAGTCTTAGCCACGGGCAAGAAAACATGAGGTCAAATACATCAGGCCTCAAGGTTGGCAGTATCTGACGAATTCACGGAAACACAGGAAATACTGTGTTGACAACTTGAACCTACCAGTAACATCAGTAACTGAGATGCAAGCCTTTTGGACCGCCGAGCTCACCCCCAACAAACCATCTTCGTAGCAGAATCACCTCACGCTGTTACTGTAGTCGCGGCTGTCTGCTAGACATGTACTTGCTCTGTCTGCTAGACATGTACTTGCCGGAGCACAAGGGGCTCAGGTGCTCTGTTCATCTCTTTGGCATGATTCTGAGAAAACTGCCAGAATGCAGGCAGATGCGCAGCAGCAAAACACAGCCACCTCAAAGGTCAAGAGAATGAAAGGCCTGCTGAAAGCATGCGAAACGTGGGCTCCAGCTCACCACAAGCATGGGCTAGGCGCTCGGCGCTGAAGCCCAAGTTCCCACCTAAAACCACGAACGCCCCACCCAAGGGGTAGTTGTCCACCACACCTGCCAAGATGTTGGATTGAGATACAGTGTGGGATGCACTAGCCATGTCCCCATTCGAGGTCCAGACTCTGACCGCGGTACTTCGTAAACCACTGGTGGTCCGGCGATAATTCACCTGCTGCGAAGCAATTTGATGCATTTTGCGTCGGCCCCTGCGATGCCCAGCTCTTCTGCCGGTGCCTAGAGCTGCCCAGTAAATGGCTCCGAGGGTCCAGGGCAAGCCCAAACCAAGGAAGACCTGGACAAGAGCTCATGTCTGTACTAAACTTGCTCACTCCGCGAAGTAAAACGCTGTGACATGGTGGACGCTTCCCAGCTCACCATGCATGATGTCTAGTCCCAGCTACGACCAAAGTTCAGATGCGTCAGGCACCACCACCATGCACCCCCACACCACACCCCCACATCCCCACACCACACCCCCCACACCACACCGCCCCACACACACCGCCCCACACCACACCGCCCCACACCACACCGCCCCACACACACCGCCCCACACCACACCGCCCCGCACACACCGCCCCCCCCACACACACACACACACACACCGCCCCACACAGACCGCCCCACATCGCCCCAACACCGCCACACACCCCCACACACCACCACAAACCACCACATACCGCCACACCACCACACACCGCCACACGCAGCCACACACTGCCACGCCACACCGCCACACTACCAGCGCACCATCCCACCACCCCACCACACTGCCACACCACCACACCACCACACCACCACACCACCACACCACCACACCACCACCCACCACACCACCACACCACCACACCACCACACCACCACGCCACCACGCCACCACGCCACCACGCCACCACGCCACCACGCCACCACGCCACCACGCCACCACGCCACCACGCCACCACGCCACCACGCCACCACGCCACCACGCCACCACGCCACCACGCCACCACGCCACCACGCCACCACGCCACCACACCACCACAACACCCCACCACCACAACAGCACCACGCCACAACAGCACCACACCACAACACAACCACAACACAACCACGCCCCACCACACCACACCACACCATCACCATCACCATCACCATCACCATCACCGCCACCGCCACCATCACCATCACCATCACCATCACCATCACCATCACCATCACCATCACCATCACCATCACCATCACCATCACCATCACCATCACCATCACCATCACCACACCACACCACCACAACACCACCACGCCACAACAGCCACAACACCACCACACCACACCACCACACCACACCATCACACCACACCATCACACCACACCATCACACCACACCATCACACCACACCATCACCACACCATCACCACACCATCACCACACCATCACCACACCATCACCACACAATCACCACACCACACCACCAAACCACCACACCACACCGCCACAACGCCACACCGCCACACCACCACACCACACCATCACAACACCACCACACCACCACAACACCTCCACCACTACAACAACAAAACACCGCCACATAATCTCCACCACGACAACACCTCCACCACCACCACAACACCTCCACCACCTCAACACCCACCACCACAACACCAAATATGGTAGACGCATGGCATCCTCAGAGCATGGCATTGACAGAGTTGCTTCCAGTGACATTGCCAATGGATGCGTCTGCTGTAGGATCCTGCGAGCACTTGCTTGGCAGTTTGGTTGCATCCTGTTCAGTTGCAGCAGCCAGTAGTGACACTGGTACTTAGCGGCATGTGACTGGACTCCAGCGCGGCCGTAGACCTCCGAGCCATGACCCCCAGAAGTTCCCAAAAGCAGCCAACGCAACCTTCTGCAAAAAAAACCTAAGATCCTGAAGTTTGGCTGTGCCATTGCCCTGTCGATTCTGGGACTGTCACATTGGGGAGGTTTAGATTCTAGAGCAAAGACGGTCCTGTTCCGCGGCTGTCTTGGATGCGAACGTGTCTGGCCTGTCGATGCGCGCACGATGTTCATTGAAAATTGCACCAATTCTGCAGTCGGCTGTAACTCAGGTCGGTGCAGTGACGTGCCAAGGGCAACTAGGGAGATTGCAGTGATCTCGTCCGGCATGTCCACTACACCTGCCACGCCGCAGATGGCTACAGGCCCCAGCGACAGTACCGTTTGCGGTGTTTCAAATTGGAGAGCTCAGCTCGCTCTGAAAATTGCCGGCTTTACACCCACAGAGCTCAGCCAAATCGCCTTCAGATCAGCTTCTCACGGCAAACGCAAGACCCAATCAGAAGCTGCACAAGGCTTTGCAAGTCTGGCCTATGACTGCTGTCACCACACCGATCATGGCAAGTGAGGAGCAGAAACACAGCCAGCCACCGCAGTAGTCAACCTCGGGTGGATGCGGCCTGTTTTGAGCACCCATGCTCGCTCTTTCCTGTCTTCTGGATTTGGCCTTTCGGGTTCTTCAGAGGTCAGGGGCCAGGTCAACGGGAGTGTCCGGGTTTGATACAAGGGGTGTGGTGGTACCCGGTGCGATTGAGGGCCCAGCCGGAGGAATCAAGGCGAAAATCACCTGCACATCACCGCACTGCTTACGCAAACGAACAGCCTGGGTCCATGTCCGGGGCCTTCCAGGGCATCGTGATGAGGTGGAACACATACGCGGTGACCAACTCGCAGCCCTCAGAGATGGCTTGTGGACACACGAAACAAGACTTCTGCATCTTTCAGGCACTGGCCTTTGCTTCCCCCGGGTCGATGAGCACGGCATCAGTGAATTGATCCTCGTGGATGCAATTGGATGCACAAGGCTTAGAGATGTAGGGATGCATTTTGCAGGTAAGAACGAAGGCGCCTTCCAATTGTCCCGAGCCATCATCTGCACCTCCCAGTTCACCTTGAAGGCCTTGGGATTCGGAAGGTGGAGGACGAAGTCTTCTTCTTTTGCAACTTTAGTTTCGTTCAACCGCCCGAGCTGCGCAAGCCCTCCGAGCCCTCCGAGCCCTCCGAGCCCTCCGAGCCCTCCGAGCCCTCCGAGCCCTCCGAGCCCTCCGAGCCCTCCGAGCCCTCCGAGCCCTCCGAGCCCTCCGAGCCCTCCGAGCCCTCAACGCGAAATTAACATAAGGATTCTTGTGGTTTGTTTTTTGAGTGGATTGTTTTTTGGGCTTTTGGCTCGTATCCCGTAAGCTAATTCTCCGTGCTTTAATAGGATTACCACTATTCATAGAAACGCCTCTATTTTTCTCTTAATCGGAAAACCTCTATATTCTCTACATGTTAATCGCAAAACATATATTTTCTTCATTTGCATAAAAATCCTACTTTCTTCTCCATTTGTTTTCTTGCACGTTCTGCAGTTGATTGGGAATCTATTTCCTCTACGCGCATATGCATAGAAAAACACAAGGCCAAACCAAAAGATAAATGCATAATGCCGGCATGGCGGGTTTGGAAAGGATTCGTGTGTGTTTCAATGCAAGTCCTCTTCATGGGCTGATGTTGTTTACAAAGCAAGTTTGCACAGGTTAACACACATAAAACGTGGGGAGGTTGGGGCGGGCGAGGCTCGTTAGAGGCGCCCGCTGCGCGTTCTCCGTCCCCCCCTCCCCCAATGGTATCCCCCATAAAACAGGTGGGAACCCCGAAGTCCTAAACCCACCACGAACGACAAGGGGAGAGGAGAAACCCTCAACCTGAACCCTCAACCTTGAACCCTAAAGCCTGAACCCGAACTAAACCCTGAACCCACCATGAACTCATGGGGCAGAGTGAAAACCCTGAACCCTACAGCCTAACCCTAAACACTAAACCTACCGTGAACCACGGACCATGAACCACGGCGGGACGGGGAGGAGGGCTACCCCCCTGCTTGCTTCCTTCTTTCCTTCCTCCTTCGTTCCTCCTTCTTCCTTCCTTCCTTCCCTCCCTCCCTCCCTTCCTTCCCCTGCTACATTTCCGTGCTCTCTTGGTTATTTCCGGAAAAAACTAAGGTTCGCCTCTTTTAAACATATGAAGACAACACCGAGGTTTTCCTGTCGAAATATGGAGAAAACAGAGGTTTGCTGAACAAATATGGGGAACTGGCTTGCGGGATATACAAGAGCTCAACCCTTGAAAAATAGAGGTTCCCTTGAATATAGAGAATTAGCTTGCGAGATAAGAGCCAAACTGCAAAAAAATAGCAGCAAGAAGAATTTAAAAACACCAGATAACTTATTTAAAAAACAACACACATACTAAATGAAACAAAGGAGTCCCAATAAAATACCTCTTCCCACCTATCTCCGCGCCCTGCCTGCTTGAGCTTATCGGCTCGACGTTTTGTCGCTTCATCGCTTCCCACGACGATGGTGCAAATGCAGCACTCCTGCACTCCCAAACGTGACTGCTTATCCTGCTTCGTTCGTGTTCCCTGTCTCGCTTGTATCTGCACGGGCGCTTCCATACTCGCAAGTCTCCTCTCCACCATCTGTGTGAGCTGCAAATCCAACTCCTCCTGTCCTGAGCTGGCTTGCACGGGAACACGAGTCAAAATCTAGAGCAAACTGAGAAAAGCTTAGGTCCTCTTGGCACTACGATACCTGTGTGGGCAATGCTCGCGGCGATTAGGGGCCCTGCGCTTCTTCGATGTATAGCCTGAAGATGGACGTCGTATCAAAGCGACCTCGCAACCGCAGGAACAGCTCAGGAAACAGTCCAGGAACAGTCCGGGAACAGTTATGGACCCGTCTTTAAGAAATGCGACACAGATTGGCATGAATGCTCGAGTCGGGACAGGCAGTATCTGCAAGTGTGAGACATTGTCAGACAGCTTGAAGCAGAAACGGCAGAGGCATCTCTGCCCGAAACAACAAGTTCCACAGCTCTCACGATGGCCACCGCCAACGTCATGCCAACGTCTCTCAACCAGCCCAGCCTCTTGGCTTGATGGTGATATGGATCTCTGCTTCCGTCTGCAGGGAAGCAAAGGAAAGCGAAAGGCAGCATAATATTTTGGGCACACATCAAACCTGAAACCTGCCTCTTGGTCTGCAAACTCAAGTGTTCCAGTCGCTTCTTCATAGTCAATGCCAGCGATGGCAGTGCCATCTTCCGTCCGATAGGAGCAGGCAACGGCCCTGGCAGCCAATTCCAAGTGCACAGGCAGTGAAGTCTCCTTGCCACTTCCTTGCAGTAGCCCTAGTTTAAGGGAACGTTGCCTAGGCAGTCTTTGAGGAGCCCAACAGCGGGCAAAAAACTGCTGATCATGAAAGCTCAAACTTGCAAGGCCGCCCTTTTGCACCAGCATGCCGGTGGACCATAATCGATATTACCTTCGCGATGAGGTGTAGCACAGGAGCAGTGCATGTACCGGCATGTGTGAATGCAAGGGCCTTCTCCCCGCCGAAATTCTCGCTGACCTGAAACAAACAAACAACAGCACAGCCACATCCGGGCCATCCCAGTGGTTCTGCTGATGGCCTTCTCTTCTTGGCTGCTGAAGGCCAGAACTCCGACCGCATCATCATCCACGATCCGAACCTGCGGCAAGCAAGATATTGCCAATGCTTCGAGATCTGCCAGGATGTGGGAGTCTGTTTGACGTGTTGATTTGGAGTTCCTGGGTCTTGGAAGCCAGGATTGTGATCTCGACCTTTACGTTGCGAGTGGCACGCGTTGGGATGCCAGATTTCTGAGCTCTGAATTCTTGAGCCGGCTACTACTACTGCAAGGAGCGCCCCGTGGCTTCATCGCCACTTTGGAACTGAGTCTCATGTCTTGCTGTTGCTTGGGTATAGCTTCTTCAATGCTAAAGACATGTTAGACTCTGAGCCCCTGCTGGCAGGACTGGCCTTTACACTGACCAATAAAAATTCAGGTAGGGAGTATCATGACGGAAATACAAGGACTCCTGCGGGATGAACGAGCAAACTGTTTCAGGAGGGCACTTCCGGACTTGGCTTTCGTCATAATGAACTACGGCCATGTCTCATGTAACTCAACACCGCAGGCGCACGTGAGCGGTCTTATTCTTTCCCAGCTTTGTCGTGACCTGGAGCCGGGCACGATTGAGTCAGGCCTTTTGGTCTCGATACGGTTTCCATCAGCGGGCTGCCTTGGACTCATCGACGGAGCACGGCTGGTAGAGCTCCACATCGAAGTACGTGTCCGGCTCATGCTCATCGTCATCGAGGATTTGGATATAGATCATCTTTTCCGTCTCGTCCTGGGTGTTCAGACACTGCTCTTGCTCCGCGCAGAAAGCCCGTGACCGGCCTCGTCAAACTCCAGCGTGCCCTGCTTTTTGATGAAATCTTTGCCATCTTTGGCCGTGACTTCCTTCGTTCTGTACCTCGTCCACACTGCTACAATTCTCTAAATCTCCAGAACGAAAGCGCAAGTCCATAGCAGCTCCCTCTTAAAATCCACCCTCGGTGTGGGCTTGCTAGTTTTTGACTCAGCTATTGGGATCACCTGGCCCAAGTCGCCCAGGTCGCCCAGGTGTCGCATACCCCCAAAGAACTCCACCCGCGAGTATCCCTGGAGCGCCCAAACCCAGAACATCCGCTCAGCGCCGGTCAAGTTGCTTGGGTTTAGGGAGATGTTTGCAGATGTTTTTCTGTGTAAAGTCATCAAAGTTGGAGGGCACGAGACACTCCCTTTGCCCAATGGCTCGATGCTGTCGGACTCTCTGGTGACCAGCAGCTCCTCAAGAGGAAAAAACGGAATCGCGCTCGTTCTACGACACCTCGCCATTCCCAAACCGCGATCACATGCGGTCACATGCGGTCACATGCGGTCGCATGTCATCATGTGCTATGTTCCCCCACAGTCCAGCATGTCACAGCTTTCAAGGCAGGAGTACTCCAGGTGCCTCACAGAAAGCAAAAAGCCAAAGCAATAGCATCACATCACTGGTCACTGTAACAGCGTCTCACAGCTTTGGATCTGATATGATCTGATGCATTCTCTTAGACAAGAGAGAATATCAAACCTGCGACGCGCTCACTCTCGATAGTTCTCCGTGGAATGATGCAACGCATGCGGTTCTGCATAGGGCTCTAGCTCGAAGGCGAACACGACGTTGGGCTTAGCTGCCTCCTGTTGTCACGGCCACAGGCAGCAGTGTAGAGAAACCGAATCGTTCGATTTGGACAGTGGCCTTCTCATCAGGCGAAAGTTGCACGGGGACCTGAGATGCAAAACGCCACTGGCACACTAGTCCCAACACGCGCACACGGCAAACGCATACACACAGGACTGGCTAAGTTCACGGCTACCTTGGTATCAGATTTCCGCCTTGCCAAAACGGAATCTTGGAAAGTGTGCGCAAAGTAGTACAGAACTTTCTTAATTATCAATTCTTACGTCAGAACTTTTTTCACTTCTTAAAGGTCTATTTTGTCTGCCGCTCCAGATGAACGTTTGAAGCTTTCGACGCAGAATGCCTTCGAGCTTGGTGGAGAGTTTGAAAGCCAAAGCTTGACGGGTGGAAAGGCAACTACGGAGGCCGAACGGCAGCATGCTTGAGAGTTTAGCTCGGACGGCTGCTTGCTGTGGTCGGTGAAGTTGTGCTCGGGAAGTTCGCGATGATGGCCGCCCCCTCACTGCTGCTGATGATGCGGCTTGCAGCGCTGGACTGACAGTACCAATGCGGCTCCGCAAAAATGTGATCCAGCGTCCTTCGCAGACCTCCAACTACGGGGGGAGGGCTCGCTGGGGGGGATGAATTCCGAGCATTAGAATCGAGTCTGGAGTTTCAGCAACTCCTGCTCTCTTCAGCTTTTATAGCTTTTTTTTGAAACATAACATGAAAACACACTGGGCAGTCCACTTGTTTGAGCACCGATCTGTGACAAGCTTAGTTTTTCTTAAGATTCAAGCTCTCGGACACTCGAGCTTGCAAGCTTACCAAGCTTTCAAATTCGCGAGCCGACGGAGACTCTTCTAGCTAATAATACGGCTCAAGTTTAGACCCCTCAATCTCTCAAATTCTCTTTCTAAATTCTCTCAGAATCTGAACCTCCAAATCTTCCCCGAAGTCTATACTTGTTTAAGCCTTCGAAGCAAACTCTCCCTGACTTTCCATGCCTCCAAAACGCTGCGACAACCTCTGTCGGACTTGCAACTTCGAAACTTGGCCGAACTGCAAGCACCAATATCTTCAGATACTCTTTCAATCGTGGATTTCTTGTCGAGCCGGTCTCTTCCTGTGCCACATGACTGCCTGTGAAAGCGGCATCCCCCCTGAAATGCGTTTGAGCTGTCTTTTGACTCAAAATGTCGAGCTTTCAAGCTCCCACACTGTCGAACTCAAAGCACCTCGCTCAGGATGCTCTTCCTGAAAAAACACGGGCTGCTAACGGCCGAGGGCGGTTGTTCGGGGATTGCTTGGCTTGAGTGGGACACTCCGGCCCATTTCCTGCCACGAACCTCCTGGAAAGTTACGAAAGCAGTTACAACTAATCGCGCTTCCCAAACAGCAACCCCACCCAATACATAGCAACACCCCTGGCAGCAAAACAACTTCTTGAGATTGGTTTTGTCCCTACTCTGCTTCCAGGCACGCTGGCAAGCCATGAGCATTAAGCATAGTAAGCTTGGACCTCCATCCGGAACAATGCAAACCGTAGCAGAGTCATACACAAGTCGTTCGCTCACACATGCTCACAATCCTTGTTCATTCTCGAGCCTTCCGCCACCGAAGATTTTCTCTGTGGCAGCTATGCGTCGAGCAGCTCTGGAGGGTTCTTCCTGTGTCACAAACTGCTTCACATTGCAATTCACCCCAACAGATTCCTGAGATTTCCGGATGACACACACAATTCTGAGACAGGGACCACTGCACCAAACTCTTCTCTAATCAGGGCCACAACTTTGTCCTGTTCAGAGTGCATTCACACACATTCCAGAGGCGCGTTAATGAAACCAGCAACGCATGCCAGCGCGGCATCTGGAATCCCTGTTCCATGCTTCTTGAGAATTCGCATCCTCATGGTGGCAATCTCCTGCGAATGGCGGGAGGTGTAGTAGAAGCAGGCAACACTTCATCGATCACCGCCAATTGGCAGGCAAGGCAACTAGAGCAACTAATGTTAGCAGACCCCTTTCGGCCTGCTCTGTCGCTGCATCCAGCAATACTTTCTCCGCCTCCTTGCTCTTGCCCCCTCTGGCAAAGTAGCCTTTGTCCTCAGGCAACAACACAGTGATGGGCGATGACTTTGGTACACAGAGCAGAAGAAGCACTGTGCCAAGGCCGGGCACACTTCGGGAAAGCTGAGATACTGGCGGCCAGGAAGGCAAGCAGCACTAGGACCGGAAAGAGGAAGAACGTTATGAGCGCCTCCGTCGGCGAAAAGGGCAGGGTTGCTGCGACAATGTTTATGGCATCCTCGCCCTGCTTCCGGGCAAACATTACAAAGGCACGGTTGGGGATGTTGGGGACAAGGCGTCCATCGAGTTTTCGCAGCTTGCAGCGTGCGATCTCGTCAGACGCCGGCTATACCAATACATGTTTATCTTTCCTGCTTGTTTGTAGCCAGCGTTGATGAATGCCCAAGACTTGTTCAAGCTTTGAATTTTATGTCGTGTGCCCGATGCAGCATAAATACTCAATGCCATGGCTCCATTAGAAGCGCAGTCACTTTCTGCTACGAGCAGACGTGGTCAGCTGTTCAAACCGTAATCGGGGCCGAAGTGAACAGGGATCCAGGGCGTCAGCTGTTCAAACCGTAATCGGGGCCGAAGTGAACAGGGATCCAGGGCTACAACTTAGAATGAGCACGGAGCGCCATGCATTTTGTTAGTGATGTAATACTGGTGCATCCAAGCTGCCTCCTCAATGGTGATAACCTGGCTAAGGGCAGGAAGAGGAAGATCCACGTAAGGCCGGAAAAGACTAGAAGATAAGCTGCATCACCCAACATGCCAGGGCGACGTCAGGTGTCCACAGCATACAGATCACGATTAGCCAAACGTATGCTAAAACGGAGAAGGTCGCTGTCACTGCAAAGACCTCCCAGAACACCAGTTCGGGGCTCATTTTCACATTCCCTCAGATACCCCGCCTGGATATCCTTGATCCTACGGAACTCGCCACCAGGGATTGCCGAAACGCAAACAGCTGTGATGACCAGCAAATTGAAAGCTGCACTGCCCACCTGGAAACATAAGCCATGGTGGCTATTCGTTGTGCTTCTGAGCAACACCACAAATTGAATGCAAGTAGGGCCGTGGCAATTGTGGATGGACCCAAATCACCAGAGTACATCTCATTTTTGAGAAGCTCTATGACCTTAGCAGCAATGTCAAGCACTGTCCGCCCTACATGCGCGACACACACATGCCGCATCATGCGCCCTGCAAACGCCCGGCTTGGGTTCAAGCACTCAGCAGGATCTCCGGAGCGCTAGAACCCAAAGCCATCAGCGTCAAGTTTGAGACGGTTGCATTCCACACCTTGACCTTTCGCAGGCATTGACATGTCATGTGAGGACCCATGGCATTTGCGTCTCTTCACATTGCGCCAAGGCAGCCAAGGCACGGTGATGAAAGTCTGCAGATTGGAGCTGAAGACACGCTTCTTCTTCGACGTAATCTGTTCGCATCACTTGCATGTGTGCATTTCCACGTAGCTCTGAAGGCTCGCAACTTCCTGTCCCAAGGTTAAGGCCTTCTCGATCGATCCCATGAAGATGTCAGAGACAATACCCACACCTTCAGCAAGGGCGAGCCCGTACACTGCCCCGTCTTTGCGTGGCGCAGCGCTGGAGTCGAGTGGTCTTGCGTCGAACTGAGGCTATGGCCCATAAAGGACCAGAACAGCCCGGTGAAGTACAACACCGCACCTCAGACTATCAAGACTGCCAAGACATACCGAGACTACCAAGCCGCGGCAAGCCGGAGTGGCATGGCAACGGAAATTCTGGACGGGTCCTCACAATGGTATGGAGGGATTTTGGACCCAAAGATGCCATTCTTGCCCCACCGATGTGGCCAGACATGGGGCGCTGATGGGCGCTGGCTACGATCGATTCCGAACCCTAAACGGCCCTAAGCTATGGGAATGCGGTTGCCATCAAGTGGCTCAGTTCCTTTTCAAGGGCTTTCCAGATTCTCTCTTATTTCCTCTCACAAACATTTCGGCCTTAAAGTTTTCAAGCATGTTCTGGCCTCGTTGGCTTGGGTCTGGCTCCAGTGACCGACCGCAGACACATGCCATGATTCCATGTTCGGATTGCCGCAGTGCCAAAGCAGTAAGCCATTTTGTCGTTGCTTGGCCCAAGGGTGCTTCCGAAGAACAGACACAGCAGTGCATGGGTTAATCGGCGCCACCAATGTGGAGTGGCTGACCAGCTGCTGATTGGAGAAGCTAGCGGTAGCTTCCGAAACTGTTCTCTCTCTCTCACTCACTCACTCTCTCTCTCTCTCTCTCTAGAGAACTCACGCATTCTCGGGAAGCGGCGAAGTGCTGGATGCCATGTCTGCTCATCTGGCCGAAAAAATTTGATCAGAAGCAAGCAGCAAACAAACGCTTCCGTGTCCCTTTACTTGGCTAGACCGGTGGACCGATGGAACATCACGCAGAATTCTTTGAACAAACATTGAAGTCATCTAACAGAATCTAACATCTACGTTGACACAGCTGAGACCCCGCCTGGCGCGAAGAGGGGAAGCATAAGACCGCCTCCACCTACCTGGCGGCGGCAACAGTTTAAGTCCCGGAAGCTTACGTATATATACGTATATCGTTCATGGTCTTTGATGATGCCAACAAGCACCCCGAGCAGAGGAGGATCCGGCCTCGCATATTCCTGGAGAACTGTCACATGTCGAGTTGGCAGCGGTAAGGTTTTCTCCACTCATTTCGACACCTTATGAGAGCGGATTCAACTGAGACCGACCACTGCCATTGCAAGACGCAACGTTCTGTCTGGCAACAGCACACAAACGGTAAGGATCCAGCTCTTCTGCAATTTGCAGAAATTTCGGGATCGGACTCCCCACTGGAGCCAACACACATGCCGGGAACTGAGCCTCCTGTAACCTGTCGTCGGCCTAGATTCACACGCTAAGTGCCCGCAACAAGTTGCACAACAATGTGGAGCATGGCGCAAGAGTCATATGAACGCTGAGATCTGCTATTCTGCGCTTCTCGTTTTGAGAAGCGGCCTTTGTACAGTTTTTACACTTTTGTGTGCGATCTAACAGGCCAAGAGGTCACGCAGCAACTTCATTGGCGACTCTCTCCCTGACCTGCAAAGGTCAAGCCAACACAACGTCCCGAGTCAAGCCAAGATGTTCTCATGGCCTGCTCAGCTCGACTTCGTAGCATGTTGCTCTCGAAGTCGAGATGACGGCCTGAGCCCAGGCAAAATTAGTACTTTCACTTGGCCACTTGAAGCACTTGAAGCCTCGGTCTTTCAATTCCGACAGCTTCCTTTCGAGCTCCTGCACCAAGCAAAATCCCTCCCTGCCCGCAAATTCTCTCGCTTAGTGTCTTTCACTTTCTCCTTGCGCTCGCCGCTCAGGAGGGCCAGGGCCCCCCGGTCACGATCTTCCTCCTCCTCCACGATGCACGTGGTCTTGAACATTTTGCAGCGTGTGACACAAATCGGTGGATATTGTACATGTTGCACATGTTACACATGCTTGCTAACTTCAGGAGAAAAACCAGAACAAGGCATGTGCCCCGAGCAACTTCTCACGGGCGACTGGAAACTTTCACACACATCGAATGAGCAGCAAGTGGGTGCCGATAGTGCGACACACTCTCTCCCTCATCCATGCCAGAGGTCAGGGCGCCGTACTTGAAATGAAAACCTTATGATGACTCATGACCTAGAGCACGTCGGGTAACCCTGCTGCTCAAGGAAGTTCCAAAGTGAGCTTTGCTACGACTGCGGAGGATCTTGAAGGCATCAAGACATATGTACATGGCTTTCTTTCTGTGAACAACACGACGGGTCGTCAATGAGCTAAAAGATGGCTGCTTCATTCAACCCGCAATGCAACAGCGTCCTGGAAAAAACAAACATTGCAAACTGTCGCACCAAAAACTCTGATTGCTTGGTGGTATGGATATGCTCAAGTCCGTTCTTGCATGTTGCAAACGAGCCCGGCCACACCACTGGCCTCGCTGTTGCGCTGGAATCTGGCAAAGTCATCTCGCACCTTAGATTTACTGATCTGCTGGAAGTTGGATGGCTTCACAGCAGTGCAAGGCAGTGGAAGACACCAAGCCAAAGGCCAATTATGCAGGCAACTCCCCTTGAACTGAGCAATCATCTGGTACCTTCTCGTTGCGTTCAGAAGCTCTGAGCCACACGCAACCTCCATGTCATCTCGCAAGAGGGAGAGGTCTTCCGTTGATCTGCATTCCATGTTGAAGCATCTTGACGACACCAGTGTTCACCAAGTCCAAGGGCATTAGCAGCCTTCGTAAAGCGGCTTGTAACTTGCTGTACTCCTGCGCGTAGTCCAGCAATTGGTCCTAGGGTTGTCTTGAGGCATAGCCGTCGAACTAAAGCCAAACAAGACCAGCTTCGATCACGGTCAGAAGCGGCTCGGCTCTTGGCACGGGCAGCTGCAATGTTGCCCCTGTAGCGCAGCTCGCGGTCCTCATGGGCTGGGCGTCAGGGCCCAAGCATTACGCGGACTGGCATGAACTTCCCTGTGATTGGTCCTGGAAACCTTGGGCAATCAAGTCTGTGCGATGAATTGTTTCCTCCGCTGCCTGCAAGCGACAAGCCCTTTCAGCCCTCTCAGCAGGCACCTCAAGGATGTTACAACAGACTATCTGGGTTTTGCGCCTAGCACTAGTCAATCCACACTCGCTGATGCCTCAACTTTCTGCAACTCGCTGCATGTCACTGCATGTCTGATGTCATCCGTTCCCTTTGCCTGCACTTTGACAGTCTTTGTACAGGAAGGTATTCTTCTCAAGTACATGTGGAACGAATTGGGCCCTCTTTAGGCTCGACGAGGATCAGCAAAGGACTCATGAAAGTCCTCGACAGTCTCCTCCTCCTCCAGCAGACCACCTTGCTTGAGGATAAACGAAAGACAAGTTGCAGAACTTCAAGCAAGATGAATCATGTGGCTGAGAGACCGACTCATTTCCAATCTTCTGATACGGTTGACCTCGATCTGAATCTCCTCCACCGCTTGTCCTCTGCGACCCTCTTCGCAGGTGTCACAGCGAACCTTACGCGCGACACCACACAACAGCAGCCAACACATGAGCTATCACTGCTATCACAAGATCGACGACTGCGCCTGTCGGATCTCAAACATTGCACCTTCAGCACTCGCGCGACATGGCGAGAACCCATGCAGACATTGGAAGATACCGGAAGACGTATATCCACAGTAAGCCAGCTGCGAACAATGCGGGGCACATTCCAGCCCCTGGCAGCTGCCAAGCCTTTCCGAAAAACCGAACCACAAGAAGAACTGCGTCGTGGACGAATGTGGACGAACAAAAATCTCAAAAGCAGGACCATCTAGCCTGTGACTGGCACTGCCAAGCCGGCGCATAGACAGAGGAATACCACGTGAGTGGTTGCTCCTCTGGCGGTTCTCGCTCAAAACAGAGCACAACAGCAACTCAAGACAGCGCCACAACAACCCCAAGCCAAGTGCGGCCCGAGCCTTGGCCGGGCCCCTGTGTCTTCAGCGTCCGCAACCTGCGACGAACAAATCGCGTCGAATGGCAATGAATGGCAATGACATGTACAGTGGGAGAATGCTGTGTTCAGCGTTGTGCCTGCCATCAAAATGCACAGTTTCTGGAAACGTGTCCAGAAGCATATCCTGCATCAGCAGGCCCAGCTTGGACCCTGCTTCCTGCAGAAAGTTCGTCAGTAAAGCCACAGCGGCCATCAACTTGCGTGGCCTAAACTGCGTGCAGAATGTGGGTATCATTGCATATGAAGATTCGAACCAAGAGCAGTGCATGCATGACCCAAACCCCAGTCCAACCAATCTTGAAACATGAGAGGCATGAACATCCTGCCACGCGCTTGCCGACCAATGCTGCTCCAGCACGAGAAGGGAAGAAGCTGCGGCGTTCAAGATCTTCTCCTCAGTCAGGGACAGGCAGGGTTTTCCTGAGCACTTCTGATACACGCTACCCTCCCTGGACGACATATGCTTACCCCCTCTGCATCATGTCTTCAGGAAGGGAGTGGGAAGCTGGGGCAAGGGCTGGCGGTGACTGGAAAACGGTGACCGACTGCAGAAACATCTTCTGGGCGTTGCCTTGCCTTGGGTTGCGAAGTTCGGTTTTTCGAAGGTTAAAGCTTTCCCCTCCAAGCCAGGCTCGGGCCCGAACAGTCCGCAGTCGCGGAGGATGATGGGTAGCTCTTCCAGAATCCGCCCCAACTGCGCCTTGCATTCAAGGAACGACCACCATCCTTAGGCTCTAAGGTTTGGGATGTTCCCCCTTAGACAAACAGTCCTTAATGGGGATTATAGTACCCCCTGGTACAATCCCTATTCGGCACTGTCAGTATAAGGGTGAACATCCCAAAGTAAGTTCACAGGTGACTCGCGAGTCGGGAAGGTGAGTCGCCTGACATAGGTTCTGAAAGCCTGCGATCTTTAAAGCCCAAACCCCAAACTTACCCCAAACCCAGGGCCCTAGACCCAAAAATGCCCTAACCCAAAACCCAAAAACCCTAAAACTCTGAAGCCCCAAACCCGGAGCCCTAAACACTAAGCCCGAAACCCAAGCCCTGGCTTCTGGGGGCCCCAAACCCCCTAAACCCTACAACCCCAACCCTAAACCCTAAACTAAATAATTCCTAAACCCTAACACATCCGAGAGAATGAGCTTTCAGGACTTCCGAAGTTTTCTCTGGGGAGTTCTCTTTTCTGCTATCGACTAGGGTCCGAAGCGCTTGAGACTCAATGGCTTTCTTGTTTTCGACTCAGGCGAAGTGACTCAGGACCTTCTCGGGACCTAAAGATGTTCCAAGGGCTGGGCCAGCTGTAGGAGCTCTTGGCGTGCTACTTGATCGTCAGGCGTTGAAAAGCCTGGGATGAGAGCGCAGATATGGCAGAACTGCGAGACATGAATGAAGCAAGAGCAGCAAGAGCCGAGCCCACTGTGCCTCCAAAGTGTAGACAAAGTATGTTGTTGTGTCACGGAGTGTACGGTGACCAGTTTGGGCCCCCAGCTCCAGATCTTCTGGCTCGGAGACACCCGTAAGACTTCGCCAATCGAGTCCCACAGCTCCTGTCCGTAGCTCTTGTGTTCCTCCATATTGGCTTCAGCTTTCTGATGCTCTCACAGGACGCTGCCTCTAGTGCCGGTAGTGAAGGGCCCATCTTGCCAACGCAGTGGTCGAACAGGACGGGGTGCTCCCAGAGAAACTCAGCCTTACATGATCTTACATGTCTCCACATCCAAGCTCGCTGGCTGCAAGATGCCAGCGGCTGCCTCTCAGCAGCTTCCAACTCTTTCACGCCATCACCTTGCAATACTTCGTGGCAAGAGGCACGCCCGTCCGATCTGTGCCCAAAGAAGCTGCGCAGCAGTGCAGACGTCACCTCGAGCAAGAAAAAGATGTCAGGTCAGAGGACCACAAAGCAGATCACGCCACACCATCCACACCTCAAGTAACTCGGAGGATGTTGGACTCTTTGGTCCAGAGATTGCCGAGACAGCCTGGCCAAGATCGACTGCACCCTGAACTTAAATGCACACATTCGTGAGTTCGATCACCGCGCATCATCCGCAGATTCCTCCGGCACCTTCGTGGAGGACGCTGTCTCACCCAAAGCCTCACACTGGGTGATTGGGAACGCAGAAGCCCAAAAAAGCATCATCCAGGATTTGCCATGTTATGCCGGGCAGAGGGGCCCGTCGCCAAAGCTGCCCAAGACCTCGACCAAATGAAGCGTACTCCTTAGTGGAAAGAGGTGACAAAATATGACCACATCGCCACCACCTTGCCAGGCACTTCCGAAATCCTCCGAACAGCCCACCGGCCTCATGGGAGAAATCTCTCGAGGCAGCGACCTTGGTCAAAGTGGCACCTGAACGTATCCTCGGTTTATGCTGACACAGGTCTAGGAATCTCGCCAAGGCATCGTGAATGTCCACGTGTTGCAGCATCAAGCGGCCATCCGGGGCTTGCCTTAGAGAACTGAACCCATCTGAACCCCGTGCCAGCCGTTCCATCTTCGCATCATCTCCCATCGCAACCACTGAGGGCAGCCTGAGGGCCCCGCAACAGCAGCAAGGCGTCGCTGGCTTTCCTCATTGCCATGAGGAGGCATATCACACGACACGAGTCACACGAGCTGCAGGTCCCATTTGGTGAATTACTCAGAGCAGGGCCGTAGGTCCAGCAAAAGCTCGTGTGAGAGACACGCTGCCGCGATGTGGCCCTGAGCATGGTACGGGAGTGCTGCATGGGTACAAGCACTTGCACGGGTAGCCTGAATCTACCCTAGGGAGTTCAACCCAAAGGTAGGTCTGTGAGATCTTTGATGCATTGAAGCCGACTTTTGGGTTCGCACAGGTGCAATGCGCGACTTTGATCCAGGCAAACCGGATTTTCATGAATTCCCCGCTCTATCAGGGACTTGGGTTTGGCCGCCACACGTCTTGGCCTGCGGGTTTGCCACTCCCTTCAGAGTACGAGTTGGTGCTCAGGGTTTGCCACCACACCTCTGCATACTTCGGAAGAACTTGTGTAAGCATGTAAATGCGTAACACAAGCCGAGCGCGCTCGCACGAAAGAGACCTAAAGGTTCTTCTCGAAGAGCGAACACGATTTCCCGACAAAACACCGCGAGCGCGGGATTGGTTGTAACGTAGATGTGAAGCGACATCTCATCATGAAAGGTGTGGGCTTTTTGCAACAAACAGGTCTTCCTCTTCAATCGGTTGTTCGGAATTGCGCATTCCCGCACAAACTTTTAGCACATTTTTTTGGCTTTGCTCATGCTGTGACGGATGGTTAGCTTCTGACAAGTACTTGTTCCAACTTCTCCCATCTTTTTGCTATCTGACCCAGCGGATGGAGAAACATATTCGCACCGAATACGCTCCTGCTACCGATTCCTATCCCAAACATACTCAGCACGTTAAAGCGTGGCCTCCAGCTCGATCAACGCTTGCAAGCTGCCCACCTGGCTGGGAGCTTTGCGGGCAGATGACATGCTCCTCAGAGACACTGCTTGTCTGCTTGTAGCAGCGCGTCAACTCTCAAGGCAGTTGAGCGGCCAAGCTGGCCACCGTTCTGGAGCCGAGACGGGGCCTCGTCTACGAAATGGAAATATGCCGATGCTGTGAGACACGAAGGCATCGCAATACTGTCATGATCTTTCGTGACGATGAGAGGTGCACTTGAAAAGGCAAATTTTCAGTATGAATGAAATTACATTGCATTCGACTATCCCTCAAGTGGCCTTGGCACCCCCGACCCCAGCCATCCAAACACAACTTAAAGGAGAGGCCAGGTCTTGGGAGGGTCACAGGTCAACAACTGGATTGGACCTCGGCAATCATTTCAAGGCTTTGGCGGCTGTCCCGCAATTGTACTGAAAGGTGCAAGAGCATTGCCAATGCGGCATTTTGTGCCCAGTTTTCCCCCCCTGCCCTGAAACACAGCAGCCCGCAGTCAGTGGGAATCAGGCCCTGGCTCGTCATGATCAGCCTTCACTCTTAGCCGCTTAGCCGCTTGTCAACCGTGAGCACATCACTACTCCGTCACTTCCGAAGCACTCGAGTCACATGCATTCACATACAGGCTCTGGCACCGGCCTGGGGATGGAGAGCATCTTCCAGCCTAAGCTCAGCTGAAAACCGCCATGCTGCTTGGCAGTCTCAGTCCAAGAGTTCGGCATTTTGTTGAAGTGGCCAGACGCGTTGTAAAGAACGCCCGTCCCACCCAGACCTGCCAAGGGCTGTTTGTTTGCAGGCTTGGAAATTCAGACAAAAAAAAGAGGCTCCGATTGCCACGATCTGAAACTAATGACAGGTCTGGCCCAAAATCCAGCCTGACATCAGACACTCGGCATCGCTTGCCTCCAATGATTATAACAACTGCAACAAAACTGCAGTGCGCAGCTCGCCCTAAAGACTCTCACAGTTCTGACATCTTGTCTCCCGCATGTGGCTTTCCATTCCTGGAGCTCATCAGTGGACGCGAAGCCATCAGCAGCTCCGACAGCCTTTCGAGTGAGACACTCCCTGATTGCGCAGAAGACGTCAGACGACCGCCTAGAACTGCCCAGAACCACAAGTCACCTGCCCACATCAGACTAAGGATGCTGCAATCATTCGTCCCCATGCCTGGCATACAACTTTATCGCGGCTTTGTCAGATGCGGTCACGATCTCACAACGCGTCAACGATGGCTGACATTGTGCTAAGCCTCAGCCCTGGAGACTGTTGATGCCGCTGGCTTGCCACCTAGCTTCACTCCAGAGCTACTGATCCACTTAGGTTTACTCCAGACCTACTGGTCTGCGATGCGAGACATGCCGCAGCGACAGTGTGTGTGCGTGTGTGCACGCACAAATAGAACTTCTGAAGCTGACTTTAGACGTTGCACAGCAAGGTGAGACACTTGGACCTGACGTGGCCAAACGTGCTTTTGCCAGTACGCAAACTTGCGTCTTGCATGCACATGCAGGGCATCTGGCCTGCAACTGGCAGAATGATGAGGCATGCCAACCAGACGCGGAGAACTTGCAGAAGCCAGATGGGCTCTGCCTGCAAACATAACTGGCCATTCGACTGTCTGGTGGCGTCCAAGAGTTTAAGGACTTTTAAAGGATCCAGTTGGCCAGGAGTACCTGCCTGCCCCCAGCGAGAGCTGCAGAACGCAGCCATGACATCATGTCGCGCACATGGGCGCACATGCAGTTCTGGTTCCCGGGATTCATTCTAGTGTGTTCTCACGATCTCGCTTGTCGTTAGGAGCTGTGTGCTGTTGTGTTTCGCGTCGTATGTCAGGTTTTTGCGTCATAGAGGTGCCTCGCGGTTGGACACTCTGTGAGACTCTATAGACAATAGTCTGCATGCTGAGGTCATGAGCGGCCCCGAGACGACATCAGGCGGCAACATCGCTAAAGACAAACGGGGCAGCAAGTGCGGACCTGAAGGTTCTGTCTCGCCTCGGTCCGCCCCTTGCTCAAGTACCTCATGCTCTTGCCATTTGAAAGTCATGCAAGGCATAGCTCAAGGGCATGACGACGTTCCATATCGCTCGATGCTTGCCCGGCAGAATGATGCACCATGCACACGCTCCAAGCATGCAGGTGAAGTCTTTTCGTTCGTTGCATCAACACATCACGCAGGTTTTTTATGTCACAAGCCTTTGGCTACCTTACAGAGGTTCTTGACACTTCTGCACGGCATCAGCAGTTCTGAATGACGCCAAGACGGCGGTGTTTGCAGAACCTCTGGGATGTGGATGTTCAAATAAAGCCGAAGCTGCATAGCTGTAACACTGGATTAACCAGCACTGCCTGCAGCTCCGAAACCTATTTACAACCGGAACCTATTCTGCAACAGGAAGCTCTGATGCGACGTTTGCTCCAGCGGATGTAGCATTGATTGAAAGGGCCCTGGAATGCTTATCATTCAAAAGCTTTAACAGGGCATGGTGGGCACGGTTCAGGTTAAGATAGGGGCAGGGGACCGACCACTCTCCTGCACTGGTTGGTTTGGGAGGTTTCGGGGGTTCCGAGAAGGTTCCCAGAAGGTTCCGAGAAGGTTTTGAGGAGGTTCCGAGAAGGTTCTGGGGAGCGGGCAGGTTCCGGGAGGCAACCTCGGAACCTCTCGTAACATCCACAATCTCTCCCTTGGATTTGACCTATCCGTTCCAGACCTTTCCCATGAGTATACCCTATGTATTGCCTTGCTCTCTCTTCCGCCAAGTTAAGCATTCCACGGGGATTGCAAGCATTTGGCAGGCTGGGCCGACAGCGAAGTCGAAGCATTCCGTTCGTTGTGTCCGCGATGTCTGACGGTCCAGCTACCCTTTAAAATCTGATTCCGTACCCGAGTCTCATCTGCACCTGGCGCCGATTCACTGGGCCTGCATGATTGACTTGCCCCGTCGAATAATTCGAACAAACATGTGAACGAACATGAACGACAAAATGAATCCCACATCCAGGAGTCCAGCCTGCTTCATCTCCAAGTCAACATCAGACCTCGAACAAACATTTGAACGAACATGAACGAAAAAATGATTGCCGCATCCAGGGCCTGCTTCATCTCCAAGTCAACATCAGATGATGTTGACCTTGCAAGGCTTTGGGGTTCGCTGTGTGCCCGCATCAAATATCAGTTGTCGCTTTGACAATGATATCTCAGGCTCGACGGCTTCCGACCATCGCGTTCAATAAGCTGTCGCTGAGCGGCTATCCGCTCTGCCCTTATTCCGGTTGAAAAATGCAAAGAACACTGCGGCGGCCCACAAAGCAGGTCTGGAAAACATAAACCTTCTAGTTCGACTTAACTGAGCACATGGCAGCGCCTTCTCCAAGTGCTCCTCTGCCTCTGCAAGACCTTGCAGAGGTCTGCTGGACCGATCTTTGGGAATTTGTAGCCTTACATCTTCAGAATCGTGCCAGCACATGGCCACGAAAAGATCAGGCGGAAACGCCGCTCGGCGCCAGCACTTCTTTCCTCGGCAGCTTTTCGGCAGGCAACTTCCGCGGCAAATCGCCTGAGTCGTCAAACTGGGCGGAGGGAATTTCATGAGAAACTTCAAAGCTTTCACGAGGGCCAGACGTGTCAGCAGCAGCAATGCGACGCTGGAGAAGCGAAACCTCCTGCTGAAGGTGAGAAGTACCAACCTGCAGCAGTGATGCAGCAGCGATGCAGCAGCGACGGGAGCTCGGATTTCAGGAGAATCGGCCTCTGCATCTTTGCAGGCGGCTTCCAGCTTGGTGCGTTCTTTTGCATCTGCCTCATGCAAGCTTTCCGAAATCTTACTTTTGCTTTCCTTTCCTTTTCTAGTACTTCATCCTCCGAGGGTTTGCCACTTCCTTGCACAATTGTATTCAACGTGTTCGAGGCCGGCCTCTGCAGCTGCCGCAGATTGCGCCAAATCTGCCTCTCAGATATGGGGATCTCCGAAATAGGGGTACCCCTTATATACCCAAAATGCTATCTAATCCTTTTGAAGGAACCCCAAAAAAGGTACCCCCATTTTCGGAAACCCCCATACGAAAATACGGGAGCCCCAAAGATAGACCCAGAAACTGTAGGTCTCGGAAACCCCCCATACGAAAGCCCCCAAATCAGACACTCCCTGGATCTCGCAAAAATGGCTGGGGTGGGGGTGGGGACGAACCGTATTGTGAACCCGTGTTTCCAGAAAGGGGGGCTCGAATAGGGGGGATGTAATGAATGCACGGGCGCCATTTCCCGTTTCCTGAATCGGCCAGATTCTAGAAATTCGAAAGAATTGCGGCTAGTTTCTGAATCGCGGCTTCTGAACCGCGGCTGCATGTACCTTTCAATGCCTGAAGCTGTTAGGGACCTCCAGGGAAGCGACTTTCTGCTCGAGGCTTTGGCAGCTTTGCTCGCTTGCGGCTTTCTCTTCCTGCCGAGAAGAACGGTCGTGAACTTGCCAGAACCGATTCAGTGCGAAGCGTGCCTCCAAGCGTTTTCGCAAAGCCTCTTCGTCGGAAAGCTCGACCTGTAAATCAGAAAGCTGCTCCTGCCAAGGGTGCCGTGATGTGTGGCTGCACAGGCTGACATGCTCTGACTCTCTGGATCCAGAGAGTCCTGAAGCTCCGCCATAAGTTGGGCCATTTGCTCGTGCCTGAGCTATGCCACATTCTGCATGTTTCTTTCACTCCCAGAGTCCCACGAGTCCCACAGTGAATCTCAATCTGGGCTTCCAGCTCTTGTATCAACGACTGCTTCTCCGTCTCTAGAGCCGCGAGGCTCTGTTGTTGCTCATCCACCTTGCTGGCATGTTCCTGGCCAACTTTGATTTGTACCTGCAGCAGAAGACATGACTCCATGATGTGCTTCGCTGGCTTTCTCCCGCACTGCGGCCTGATGAGCATCAGCCAAAGAAGCCAATTCGGATCTTGGCAAGACGTTCAGGTATGCATGCGTGCATCGAAAAGAAGCTCCCGGGCGAACAGCCGACCCTGTAGCTAGCACGTGCTACTGCATCCTGAGCTAAGCCCGGATCTTCGCTGTTGCAAGCTCCTGTCGCAGGGAAGCTGCACGAGGATGTGAGATGATGCCAGCTCAAAGCTCTCAAGCCAATCACCTATGTATCAATACAGGCGGCCTGGTCTCGCAACTCCAGCTTTGCTTCCACATCCTTGCGTGACGCAATCTCCAGATCCAGCCTTGGCAGCTCACGGAAGTCAAACAAGTCTCAATCACTAGTACGAGCTGAAGCATGCCGATCTTGGATGTAGACTTCTGCCCCAGCTCCTGTAGCTGCTCCTCCTGTGCGAACAGGCCACATGCTGATAGCGCGTCATTGCCGGGCCGGACGGGCTGTCCTGAACTCTTTGCAGCTCCTTGCAGCGTCGCCTCACCCGGCAACACGCTGGTAGCACGACACTTCCAGAGGCTGGGGCATGCTGAAGATCCAAAGCCAAGGCAGCAAGGCAGCTCGATGTAAGCCCAACGCTGGTGCTCGGCCTCTGCAGCCTTTGCAGCCTGCGGAGAGTAGCATCTGTTCATCTGCTCGAAATATGCATTTTCGCCAGAGTCAGAATAGTCGCTGTTCGGGGCGGTGGCGCAGTTTTGGGGTTCCCGGTCCAGCGTGCAGTTTCGACCGAATTGCAGTGCCAGGATTTACCACCCAACGCTCCTTTAGGGCTTTGTTCAAGCTCCCACTGACACTTCTAGGCGTTCCCATTCTTTAGGGGCGCTGAGTCGAGGGCTTCCTAGTAGCGAGCCCAAGCGTGCGGGCACCGGTGAGTTGGAGTTGGAGATTTAGTGCCGGCTGGTGGATTGGAAAGGGAGATAACGCAACAAAACTGAAACCGCGAACACCACCACAACAACGAAGGCACGCTCGACCACGAAAACAATGCACCCTCGAATCCTTCCCCATGGTTTGCTTAAGACACTGTGGCGGCAGCCTGCTCTGCCAGATCAGCTCGGCGCTCTGCCTCGCGGCGCCCACAAACCTGCAACCGCTCAGCAAGATCAGCCAGTTGACGTGGGGCTCATGGTTAGATGTAAGAAGCTGTGTGAGGAACTGCGGCGTCAGCTTCTTTGAGCGCTTCTTTGACAGCAGCCTTCGCACAAGGTCTCATGGTCGACCATACTTCGGCACACCGAGTCGCATATGGAGTCGCACCTCTGCCTCAACCAATTGTGCTTCCAACTCTTCCTTCACTTCCTTCCAAGGAGGTGTCAAGAATGCACTACGCAGATGTAGTCAATTCACAATTGCATCACATCTGCGTCTGGGATGAGACGAAAGGCGGATCGTCTGCTAAAGTAGAAGCAAAAAGCCGAATCAATCCAAGTCCCATACCTGGACGAAAGTGGAACTTTAAAGGAAAAACGAACGTGTGCTGGCGACTGACGCGTGCGATGGATTGCTAGGGCCTCACAAGCGTCCCACTCTCGAACTTGGGAACTTGACGTGGTGTATTGGAAGAACTTATTTGAGCCAGCGCGCTGTGAAGTTGGCCTGATCTACTTGAGGATTGGTTGAGGGAAACACATTGAGAGCTCCTAGAGTTTGTCACGCAGAGAGCAGGAAGCCGCAGCGGTTTCACAGAGGTCTTGCACCGCTACGGCCCCGAGTGGTCCCAAGCAAACACCCGAAACTGTCCTCATGACGGCACTTGTCTGAGACACCAACATGATACATGATCCACTTTTGCGCACTTGTGCAACTGTGAGCTTATTCCCTGCTCTTCAAATAGCCGCAGCGCATGTCGCCAGGTGTACGTCTTGCATACGAAAGCTTGAAACATCGTTCTTACAAGTGCTTGGTCTCAGCTGAACTGTTGCTTCAACTTAGAACCGCGGCTATGTAGTTTTGACAGGTGGCTGCTTGATGATGGAAACAGCTCACCCAACTTGAAGCAACGTAGTGGGTTGGCCCTCACTTTCACGATGCCCTGAAGCAATCTCGCTATGCCTTTTCGGAGGTTTGCTTTGCTTGACATCCGTTAACCTGAAGTTGTTCCATGACCTCTCTTGAATCCCTTAAACTCAATTGAACCTCCCCGGAACCATCGGAACCATCGGAACCTTGACGGTGCTGTCTTTCTCGGCTTGGATCTCGGAGATGCGCACGCGTAGACTCTGCAGACGCTCCTGCTGCGGCGTGAACGAAAGCAAAACGAATCCGTGCACACCCGCACACCCGCATAACTACGCAAGCTACAGTACAAAATCTTGCATGTCAGTCCTCCGCCTCCTGCTCCTAACGGAGCTTGATGGGTTAACTTCGAAAGACTTCAAGTTCAGCACTGCGCTATGTGCTATGAAGGGGTAAGGCCTCTTGCTCACTGCGTGGACTCAGCATTAGCGGCACCACATCAGAGCCTGCAGCGTCAAAGCAAACATTTTCTACAAGGCCCTGCAAATCCTTGCATCTCCTTTGCAGGACTAGTACAAGCAGGATCTCGTAAGCACGGAGCTAAGAAGGTCCTTGAGTCCCTTCGAACGCTTCCTGATTTGATTTGTGATTTGAAAAATCCGACACAGGAAAGCTGCTCCGCTTCACACATGTCACACTGGACACAAAGCGCACATCGTACAGCGAAGGGGTGAAGCTATGAGGCTCTGACGCAGCCTGCTTCAGAGCCAACGCCCAGCCTGATCATCTCGCGTTCACGTTCCACTTTGTTCCTCCCTTCTAAACAAGGCCGAGCCGGGAATCCCAAAACCAAGCCCACCGCAATTAGAGCAACACCCTCCCCCGTCTCGGACCCCGTCCCGTGGCACCCGCCGCCGAAGCTCACGCTTATGTAGTTCGCCGATTTCGGGGAGGCCCGTGATGTGCTGAGCCATGTAGCCGATATTGGGGAGGTTCGCGTATTGCGATTGCAGCCGCCTACGCATCGCTTTCCCGCCGCCAGAGCTCGCACCTTGCAGGTCCCTCCCGTCCCGGGAGCTCTCCGCCCAAGCTCACGCCCCCGCATCGTCACGTGCATCCTGTGCCGCACTCTGAGGGACCTCCGCGCTGGACAGTGGTGGGGACGGCGGCCAATGCGCTCGTCAAGGACGCTGCTCGGCGGAACCAGGGATGGAAAAGTGCTGCTCCTGCTCCGTCCTCTTCTGGCACTACCCGCACATGCCAACAAAGTATATATGCGCAACTCCGGTTGTGTAGAGCTCCCACACGAGTTTGTCTGACCAACTCAAGCAGCACACAAGACAAAACATGACCAGACTCAGACCGTCCCGTGGGCCACCGCCCAGAATCCTCGCAGGCCCCCGATTCGCACCCTAAACGAGAACCCAACCCCGCAAGATTCTTGGAAAGAAACGAAGTGGAGGATTCTCCCTCGACGCCTTCGTTGGCTGGGTAGGCCTGTACTTCGCAAGAAGTAAACTTGGTGGACGACTTAGGGCTTTGGGGTGCTGTTTTATGATTGCCTTGCTTGTGCTCATGTGTGCTACTTACCAGGCAAGTTGCTGGCCGCAAAGAGGTGAGGTTGAGGCGCATTAACGTCGCTCCCACCGTTGTAGAAAAGGCTTGTGAGCGAACATATGAAGATGTTTAATTTGTTTCCGTTTTTGCATTCAGATTTGAAGAACTGGCCCCCATGTCTTGCAAATAGAAAAGACACATTATGCAGGGTTGAGCCCGACATCCTCTTATAATGTCGAATTGCCCAGACGGTGTCCAGCAAGCCTGCCTCGTCTTAGGGCAGCCCCCCGGCATTAATCATTCATCCCGGCATTCAATGCACGTTGACCCCCTGCCATTCAGGAAATGTTTTGGGCTATGCGTATGCGGCAGGCGCATGGACACGCTCGTAACACCTGCACGTTCACAATCGGGCTTGGCTTTCGATCGGCTTTTTTTTTCAGCCAGGGTTGGACGGAGGGGGGTGGGCAGGGGGAGGGAGCGGGGTCCACAGCAAATGGACTGCTATTCAAAGTCAAATAGCCCACCCCCCAACCCATCGTAGCATGTCGATCAGGTCTCGCTCACTTTGCCCTTCTTCACCTGCCCCTCGACCGCCTGTCCACCTGGTCTCGCTCGGCTCATGCTGCTCACGTCAGCCGTTGTCCTTCCTCTCCTCCTCCCGATCTCGCTCACCTCTCTGTCTCTCTTAACTTGAATTCATATCTCGGCTTTGTTTGTTTTACACGTTGCCCTTCATTACCCGCCCACCTGCCCGGCCCAGCACCCAAACTTCGTTCGCCTCCCAGATCCCCGTTACGACAGTCGAGATCTGGCGACCACCCGATCTCGCCGTTGCCGTTTATCTTCCGGTCCACCCGTTGGTCGCCCGTCCGCCTGCGATGTCGCGCGTCGTTCCCTCCCAATGCCCTTAGCCCTGCCCATCGACCGGAATTCAGGAAATATGTGCTCCCTCTTTCCATGGGCCTTGGAAAAACTGGGATCCCTGCGCTCAGCTTCCTCAGGAGTGTCGAGCTGGATGGCAAGCAAAGGACTGCCAGGGGCCTCGCTGGTCAGCAGAGAACTGCATCGGCACGATTCTGCACATAAAAACCAGCCTCGATTCGTACGGTTGTTGGCGCTCTGAACTCCACAGTCGCGGCGTGCAGAACCACTGCTGCCTCAAAGAGGGTGCAATGAAACGATGCCTTGGTCAGGTTTCTGCTGTTTCGATGGCCTGTTGCTTGCCCTTCCTCTGAATGAGCAGAAGATCTCCGTGGAGTCGGGCAAAGCAACGTGCGGGCCAGAACATTCCTCTGAAGGTCTCTCAATTGCTCCAACATTGCTTTACAAACTCTTCAGAGGTCATACAACAGGTCAGGGCCTCCCAGCTTGTAGGTCACCTCACCGCCGAGAGTGTCCACCGGAGCAAGCCCCGGTGCGACATTCATGCCACTCAGGTTTAGCGGTGGCATGGCCACCGCCGCGACCATGATTGAAACTAAAACGAAGCACTGCTCACTAAAGCTGAACTGAAACCGAAAGACTGCGATAAGGGTTTTGTGATGTGGCTCACTTCGCCAACTGCGCTCAATCTGCACAACTCCCACGATCTCCCACGTCATGTCGGTCATGTCTGTGTGGGTCATGCGAGGATTGTGATCTTGCAGGGCACTGCAAGAACTCGTGTACACGTGCGGCCTTCTCGTTGCCTGATGACCTCGGGATTCAATACAACTGAATGCTGGAGAAGGCTGTGCACGTGACTAAACAGGATACTGAATCGACTGGTCTGGCGGAAGCACGTACCACCATGTACAACCCATGTCTTGCAGCATCACGCAAAACCGTGCATGCAAAGCTGGGACCAAGCGGCTCGAGGAGGAACTTCTCTCGCCGGTCAAGGAGCCTAACACCAGCAAGTGTAAAAAAGAACAATGGAAGAACAAGAAAACAAAACTAGGAAACCAAGGAAACATCCGCAGACATAAGAAAACCAAGGAATGCCAAAGTCCTCTGGAGACAGAAGAGCGAAGCACCAGGTGCCTCTCCATGAATTCCTCCGTCTTGGCGTCAGACACAACCTCGCAACCACGATGCCAAACAAGAAAGCATACCCTGACACCATGCCCTCGGGATGACTCCACTGAGCCCATCGCCATGTTGCCAGGGATGTTAGCCACCTTGCCACATCTTGCCACTACTTGCCACTACTTGCCAACGGGCACTCAGTGACTCAGATCTCTGGCCATGGAACACCACACTGAACTCGTTGGACACTTAGCACCACTTAGCACGAGGCAGCATATCGCAAAGAAAAGTTCGCAGCCGCTGCCTCTCACGCACACCCTTCCACACTTCCACTTGGCAGCAGGTGGCCCATGAAACTTTTGATGTCAAGTGGATCAAGCAGGTGCATGCGAAACTGCGTTTCTCACTGCACGGCGCCTGCCCCTGGCTTCGAGAGCCTGGTGGCATTGCCTCGCTGCACTGAAGTCTGTCACGTTACATGCTCTTCGTGCCACTTCACGACGAGGTCCAAAACATGGTCAGAGGATGGGAGAGGCTCGAGACCGCCAAGGCCGCCACCCGCTTCAAGCCATCAAGAGCACTAAATTTCTCGAGCGCCACATCGTTTGATATCCACGAGCCCTTGCAGAGTGCGGTGTACTGCCGGCATTGGATCACAAACGAGACATGAGCTGGAAGGCATGACTATCCACCTCGTACGGACCCACAGACATGCTTGCTCCGTGGGCCTCGCAAGTGGAACACTGCCGAGCAACGCATTAACGCATTGCCGGACAGCAAGCCCAAACTTGCCATGTCACACCACAGCACATTGAACTAATGGCTAACAGATGTTAACAGCTACACTCGCCGTCAATCGCTGGTGCATGGTGCTGGCGTGTGGTGAGATAAAGCGACGATAATAAAAATTAATAAAAGGCACCTTTCTGTTTCGAAGAAGCAACTCGGCAATCTCTTGCAAAGTCTCTTCAGCCAGCCTGCACGACAATACTTCGTTTAGTGCGCAGCGAGGCATCAGCAACACGCCTGCAGCCGGTGAGTTGGCAATCGAATAGTCCAGAAGTCGAGCGAATGCTGTGCACAAGAACCTGCCAAGTGTCGAGAACCCGAATGAACCACAGGATTCGGGGAAGGTTGGGGACAAAACGGATGCCATGATGCTTTGGCAGCCCAACTACACCGCATGATGTGGCATGACAGGGCATGACAGGGCACTGGCTACAAACACCGGGGTCCCGCGTCAGAGCCGTGTCATGCCCCTGGGCCTGGCCGGCTGAGGCTCCCAGTGGGTTCCAGGAGAGCTCCAAGTGCGACAGCGCCGCGTTGCCCTGAATATTGGAGTGAAGCGTCTACCATTGAAGAAAACATGAGAGAACCTCCCTCTTCGTGCGCTGAGTGAGATGCCTCAATGATAGAGCCGATTTGAAGAGCCGCAGCTTCACCGTGCAGCCCCGTGTAACATAGATCCAAGTGCCTTCCCATGGGCACAAGGAATTGCAATGAGTCACAACTGGGATGGCACAAGTGTGGCTACGCACGTGGCGTCCACTGGCGTCCTCAAGGATGCACTGTTTCGTGCAGCTTGGCAAAAGGATGCCAAGGCCTCCTGGGAAGCGGGACATGACGCGGGGAACGGCCACGGAAGGGGCCACGGAAGGTGGCACAACATGGCACAACATGGCACAACATGGCACAATGCGCTCCTCACCAGCAGATCCTGAAGTGATCTCGTTGTGGCGCAGAATCAAACTTTCGAGGCTGAGGCTACACCTGGACTGCTGCGTACTGCGCACCAGAGGGTACCACAATAAGGGCGCCGAGGCTGGGGCTGCAGTGCCTCTGCGATGTGGAGCATTCCTGTGGACCTCGCAGTGTGTGCATTCTACAGCAGCAACAGATGTTACAGGCAGAGTCTCGGTCGTGATTCCACAACCGGTGAGGTCCAGCAGGCGCAAGTATGTGCCTGCCGTAGCAGTTGAACACTCTGCGAACGCACATGCTTCGCTGCAAAAACTTCAGCCAAGACACTCTTGCTGGCGAACTCTGCAATTTCCTGTGCTCCTTGGAATTCTGAATTGCTTTCCGGATCTTCGCATCGACAAGTACGACTGGCTTCGAAGCATGCGACTTACTTCAAGCAATGGCGGCCTGCATCTCCGATCTTAGCATGAGCAAGGACCAGTGTGGGCGACTCTTCCTGCAGGAAGTATCTTCCGGCCCATGTCACTCAGTCACTGCCATAAACAGATTTCTCGGCCTGCGCTTTGAGAAGGGTACCATAGCACCTGGTCCAAGCAACAGAACGTGCAGCAGGACTCCTGCGCGTATGTCCTATTCCGAGTACTAATCCCGAATAGACAGACTTGACAAGGGCCGCTAAAAAGCTTCCAGGACATTACTGATGACAACATGTGAACGTCATCTTTTCTCGGATCTATGCTTATGTTTTAGTATTCGTCCTGTCTTGAGTGACGTCATGAACACTGCCGCGAGCACGAGAAGACAGCATCCCCGCGAATCTGGATTAAGTCGCAACCAGCAAGGCCATCGCCCTTGCTTCCTGCCGTATTGCATTATGTGCAGCCGTCAGCATCAGTATCTTCTTGATGCCAATGTCCCGGTCCCCGTTTAAACCCTTCTATCACCGGAGATAGCTCCCTCACGTCTGCCTGTGTAGGGTTAGCCCACTGCCTGTTTAGGTCATGCATATAGCGTATATATTAATATATACAAGGGTTGACAGAGGCAAACATACCATCACAACAGAAGCGCCACCAGTGAATGTTGTGAGGCCTTGGTGAAGTTGGACTCACAGATCTCAGTCGCATGGCATCGCTGTTTCTATGCCTTTTGACTTGAATGCTACGACTACATGTGAGGCTCAAGCTCAAGGGGCGGTCAAGTGGACTTCACTGTATGCAAAAGTCCTGTGTATATCTGCAAAACACACATACATGTGTCTATATATATATATATATATATATGTATTATATATATATATACAATATATATATATATTGTATTTCCAAAAGTATATTCATGTGTGCTGCGTTTCGAGCCGTACTTGTTGCTAAGCACAGCGGAGCAACTTTCGAACCGCGCCGCCCTCGTGTACAAAACCAAACGCTCACCCGACGAAACGTTCCTGCCACGACAACTTTTCCAGTTCTTCGTTCTCATCCGGCTGCGACTTTGTCGCCGAAAAGCAGACCATCTCAGCTCACTGCCTTACAGACACTGCTCCTCATGTCAATGTTGCCTCGGCTATGTCGGCTGGTGTTCTTGCCAAATGCACGAAGAGTAAGGCACTGCAAGAAGCCATATGGCACTTCAATTCGATCTGGCTGCAGCGGGATTCTTGCAAAGTGGAAGAGATGCTGCCATATGTTTTCTGTGTGTAGAAGCAGACATATCGCACACCATCATATTCGACCACTGTCTGTTGACAGGCCTTAGGCACACACATCAAGCGACAAGCCATTGAAAAACCTACGCGGCATCATTTTAAGAGAGAAGATGCAAATATCGCCAGGTCTCGTCTTTGTCGGCTGCTTGTGGGCATGAAGAGGCCACGGAGAAGCCGAGGCAGTCCACCAGCTCCTTCACCTTGAGTCAAAGACTTTCCCCTAGCTACATGCTGCGATCACGACATGTCCAGGAATAACAGTGCTTGCGACCAAGGACATCTTTCACAGGCAAGACGTCTTGATGTCCATTTCCTGGATTTCGAATGGGAGCGCAAATTAAGCTTTGTAGGGCAAAGTCTGTCAACTTCAAAGGGCGGTGGGACCAACAATTGTCTGTCTCCTACAGGATTCTTAAAGGGACTCCTGAAGGACTCCTGAAAGACCCCTAAGGACTCGTAAAAGACTCCGAAGGTCCTAAAGGACCCCCAAAGGACTTCTACTCCTAAAAGCCTGAAGGCAAAAAGGTGATCAAACGGGACAGACCAGACCAAACCGCAGGAGATTTTCTGATTCTCTTGTCCCAGACATGGTTTGATTGAAGAGATTATGAGACATTTCGGTCAGGTGAAACACACAGAAACATCTTCCAATGAATCCGCAATGAAGGCACATTTTCCATGTGCAGCGATGTTCTTTCCTCGAACCAACTACTACAACGAACCATCAGCGGCCTGTGGACACCTATTGTCGGGCATTTTTTGAGACCGCCGCTAGCAACAAGCTGGTACTTCTCAAACTACCGAACACAATCACAGGACATGGTACCGAACAATATCCCATGAATTTGTCGTTCTTGTAAAACGAAAAGAAAACTCCCATGACATGATGCTTCCATCGGTCGTAATGCGACTGCAACGACATGAATGTAAGAGTCACGTGGCTTAGCCGTAGCCAAGAAGCAAAAACCTCGCGGACCAGCGAAAAAATACTCAACAGCACAGTGTACTCTGCTATATATATATATATATATATATATACTAGCAACGCCTGCTTCAAGAATCATCAGCCGCGGCTCCAGCTTCTGAGAGATGCCTCCCGGATGTAAAAGTTTAAAATGCTTCTCAAACGAAAGATGAGTGAAAGGAAAAGTGTGTTTGGTTCGAACCCTAACAACAAGTCATCGTCTCGCTTGCGGATATTCTGGAAAAGTCTCACCCCTTGCAGCCCAAGCAGGGGGACGACTGTCAAGAGGACATCCAGGCATGGGCCATGGGCTCGCTTTGAAGAAGAAGGGCAGTTTCACGGACGACTTTGTGGGAGCAGTGGAACAAGATCATGCAGTGGACCCAGATGGAGTTGGACAAGGCCGAAGCTGCAGAGGTAGGAGGCCGGGGCATGTCACTCGGGAGGGGTAAACCCGACTGGGACAATGTGGCCCAACCCAGCCAATGTGCATTTCTCATGGCATGACATGCGCGAAAAGTTTAAGAAACTCGGAGCAAGGTCGGCAAATTGCGGCATTTCCACGGTGCAAGAAAAGCCAACGTCATCGCTGGTGGAGAAGATCGGTGCACAGGATAAAAAAAGCACGGCAGCTGCAACTGCTTGTGGCATGGTCTGGATTTCTGGGCAAAGTCCTCGCCCTCATCTCCTTTCTCACGGGTCGTGACATCAGCAACAAGTCCGGAAACCAGATAAGCTATGAGCCCGACATGCATCGACCTCGCCACGACAGCTCACCCATCAAGACAGACCCGAGCCAAAAGGGCAAGCAGGATTCCCGCAAGGGATCGAAACTCAAGGTGGGCAATCTCTAGCGGGAGCGCAGGACAGATGCGAACAGGGTGCCAATGCACGGGGCTGCAAAAGGGTTTAGACTCAAATTTAGACAATGCTCATGTCCAAACACCAGCCAGAGATGCTGCAGTCAAAGAACCGGAACGCTTGAGCGATGAGGAAATTGAAGCAGGGAAACGGTAACCACTTTCATCTAATTCAACACCACCACAACTTGAAGCTCGAGAAAGCTCGATGGGCCACACATGAATCTTGGAAGCTCCATATAGCTCCGCACTCTATCCCTAAGCAAGTAGCACGCAACAGCATTCTGCCACATGTCAGCCAGCTAAGACAAGACTGAAACTCACCAAGTTTCGTAACAGCTCAAGAGTGCGTGCTCCCAGCGCCGATTCCTTCTGGCCACGACCAGCACCTTCTTCCAGATCAAGCGTGGCATCGTACGAATCGTACACATCTGCACCTGGGTTTACCAACAGCTTGTCCAGTTTGAAAAACCATGCCTGAAAAACTGAAGTTCGGGCAGGGCACGGTGGTCGCCAAGCCCTTGACCTGTTGTGAGGATGCACGCCACCACAGCTGTCAATGACAGCATTCCATTGGCTGGATAGTGTATGTATCTTACAAACTTACAGCTGAGGCTGTGCAGCTTGAACACGGAGCCAGGGTGCTGTGAGGAAGCAAGGCAGTAAAGGAACACGATATTCGTCAAAGTTCGACCTATCTGCAGAGTCTTATTTTCATCGAGCGTGTGTCGCGCCGAAGAGGCAATGAAAGCCCCTTACCTGGTCTGGCACATAGTCGACCCCATTCAAGCTGCAGACTGTTGCACAGACTTTGTGCTGCAGGCTTCCCGATGGCAAGTGCAAGGGTCCTTAGACTGATAAAATTGGGCTCAACAGAGCTGCGCAGCATCAATTTCAATGTCTCTTCAGCCTCCGTACCTTCCTGTGGCGTCGCCATGGCGCAGGCCTTCAGAAGGAGATTGTACATGACCAGATTGATTTCACCTCCGGTTTCACGGAACCGCTGTTGCCAGTATCTCACACCTTCAAGATGCCCAATCGAGGCTCTCCCTTCCATTAAGATGCCAAATGTGATCTCGCTTGGCTTGCACACTTTCAACATGCTCAAGAACAGCCCCTCTGCCTTCTGGACTTCATTTGCCTTGGCATATGCCTTCATGAGGGTGTTGTACACGACTTGTTGATCTTGCTGTGGCTCTCCCGAGCTCATCGCAGCTTTGAACCAGAACTCGGCTCGCGATACATCACCAGAAGTTGCTGCCGCATTTATCAATATCCTCAAGATGGCGCCATCGGGCGAGAAGCCCGATGCCAACATGCGTTCATACCAGGTTTCAGCCATGCACATGTCCCCAGATCTTGCAGCAACATGAAGCAGGTTTATATACGTTTGCATGGTTGGCGCAATCGATGCCGCTTGCATTTGGCTGAGGATGGCTTCAGCTTTGGAGGTGGCATCTGGCCCAGTTGCGGCAAACGAAGAAAGCACGGAATTGTAGCTGATCTCATCCGGAGAGATGCTATCAGCACTCATGTTCTGAATCCAGCCTACAGCCGAATCAGCATCTTGAGAACGAGTGTGTGCATTTAAGACCGCATTGTAGCAGTGTGTGTTGAGCTGCACACCCGAAGTCTTCGCCTCCTCAAACCATGCAACGGCCAAGGCTGCGGAGTCAGCCACAGCACAGGTATCAATGACAGCCGAGTAGATGTAGCAGTTAGTCTCAACTCGAGCAACGATCATCTTTGCAAGCAGCTCGCTGGAAGTAGCCACATCCCTTGTCGCACGGATGCAAACCACAAAAGTCTGTGCATCGGGCACCAGCCTGTGATTGAGCATCTTATTGATCCATGGCTTTGCCTGGTCAGATCGTCCATGCTGAGCCAAGTGACTCATCAGTATCGACACCATCTGCTGTGGTTCAAAGGCATGCTGGATGCTCAAATCTGTCAACTTCTCTGCCAGTATGATGTGGTCGAAATCGCAACACTTGCGAATGAGACTCCCCAGAATGTATGGTCGCTTCTGGATTCGATTGAACTGAACCATCTTCGTAAGGACTGGCTCAAAGTCTATCACATCTAGGACTATCCCCACCTCTAGAGCCAATTCCAACCAAGGAATGACCTTGAAGTGCGTCAGCGGATCTCGCAAAAATCCCTTGCAAAGAGCTGCAACATCACAGGACTGAGGTTTTGGAGGTTTCGGAACCTCTGCTTCTTCGGCGGTAGTAACATGGGTAACATGCTCGTGCACCCAGGCTACCATCCAGGATTCGGCTTTCAGAACATCCTCCATTGCCAAACGTTCACAGAGTTGACCTCTCAAGCTGCCTGCGTACCCCAGCTGCATCAAGTGGACCAACCAGCGCTCCCCTTGCCAGGTGCATCCCTCAACAATACACATCTCCACCAACCTGGGTCCAGCCCTCAGCAGGACAAGTCGGATGGACTCGATGGTTTCTCGTTGGGTCTCTCGATTTGAGACCTCACGAAGCCGTTGAAGCCAGTGCAACAGGTCGAGCAACCTCTCCATGAGAGCCTCGGCCTGGAACAGACCGGGCAAGCCGCCTTCGGCTAGTTGGGTGATCACCTTAGCAACAGCCCTGGAAGCGGCAAGGGGCACTGTCGCGGCCTGCAGCATGGGTCTTAAACAAAGCTCAGCCAGATGAGGCTGCCTTCTCTCACACAGCTCCAGGATCTTTGCTGTCATCGCGGAGGACCACCCTGCATGAGACTGTAATGCCCGCAAGTCCTTCAGATTCTTGGTCGATGGCACGGCTTGTATCCACGCACCAGCTTTGTTGAATTCGCGAGGAGCTGCCTGGAGCTTGACACGCCGGTCAGCTTGTTTTTGAGACGTTTTCTCGTATTCGTCCGCTGCCGTTGCGGACGTTGCCTGGTCATGCTGAGCCGATTTGCTCTGGGGCCCAATGTGTCCCGTCTGTGTGGGTTGCAGATCCGATGACAGCTGATACCAGCGGCTCGCCTTGGCCGTTTCGTTTGCCTTGGAATAAATGTCCGCAATTCTTTGGAAGATTGAGGAGTCGCTCTCTGCCTTTCTGGCCCTCAAGATCCTTCGGCTCATTCGCTTTTGCCTGTGGGGCTTCCCTACGCATTTGGAGACCGTTAGCGCCATGCAGTACACCTTAGAGATGTGCAAGAACCTGGTGGCCTCACTGCCATCCGCTGCCACTTCAGGCACTGCAGCACGACCATGCGCAATGGCATACGACACACGGCTTCCAGCTTGGCTGCGCCATGTCAGGCGTACAGTGCCAACTTCCATTGTTTGCTTCTGCGAATGTCGTTTGAGCCCTGAAGTGACTGGAAATACGATGTCAATGTATGTAAGTTTACAAGACTGATGCTGTTACATGCCCCAACGCAACAAATGCCTGAAATCAAAGGTCCATCAAGCCCGATCTTCTTTGACCGAGGAAAAAGATCCATGGTCAGTAGAACAAAGCTTGGCTGAGCTGTCTGTTGCAGCCGCAGACCTCGTTTATTTGTTGCAGCCCTGTTTTAGGGCTCAACAAGCTCGTCGCAGTTGGCATGACCTCTAGGATCGAGCCCCTTGGTGCACATCAATGCATCACGAGTGAAATGACTGGAAGAGTACAAGAGCATAGAAACAAAACCAAAACCACGCTTGGATGAGCCTCCAGCACGACATCCGCAGAGAGTATCAAATCAGGCCAATCTGTTTCAGTATGATCACGGCAATGAGGAAAACGACCAAGGCCACGAACACAGGGATGAACCTGCAGAATTTACAAATGATGAATGCAACCTGTTCAAAGCCTTCGCCACAGAACTCAACATCGAGTCCATGGCACGTGCAGACTGGAGCGCGGGTACAGTTGGTGTTGGGCAGGCACTACGGTTCAGGATTGACGTCGTACAAAGATTCCAAAGACCCCTCCCAGCTGTCGCGAGCTCCTTTCCTGTCTGAATGTTTTTCTTATCTTGAGGTCTGTCACCCTGGCTCCGTGCACCTGCGCCCAAACATCCAAGTTGGCTGACTCTTTGCGGACGAGGAGCTTCTTCCAGAGCCCAAAGTCTGGCCAGGCGAATCCTTGGAAGCGGGAAATTGCATCTCAAGCCAGGGCAGAGCATGCACCAAATCATACCAACCAGCACTACGTGATACCACTGATACCACATGCTGCTGCAGCTCCCAAGGATGACAGGTAGGTGCCCCAGTCTCTGCCTGATGTCTCAGCAATTCGCAGCCAGAAAAAAGCACTGTAAAGATCGCACGATGATACTTCTAGACCTGTCTAGACTAGCCAGATAGTTTGGCACTCAGTTGGCCTTCAGTTGGCGTGAGCAGCTGTGGATCTTCATTGGGCTCTTCGCGGGCAATGCCCACTCGTCGGCCCTGTGCCTTCAAGAAAAAAGTCGAATGCCGCTGAGCTAAATTCTTTAGATATGAGATATGCCGCAGATGCGCCCTTCAGGCTTGGCAGTAACATGGAGACAACAGCACTTTCCGTGACATAGGCATCTACGACCACAAGCCTCTGCTTGCGTCAGGACCTTGGCTGACATGGAGAAGCACAACTTCGCACTCGGGCGTCGCTACGGCCATGAGAAGCTGAGCTCTTCACCCACATTGTCATATTCACGGAGCCCACATCTTCCTGCGTGCTATGTTGTGATGCTCACTAAAATGGGACATGCCAGGGCCATCACAAGACTGACTACCCGACGCTGCCCGACACCCCATACTTGTAGCTAAAAACCACACGTTACTTCCTTCACTCTTGTCCTCCTCGGCGTCATAAAACGTGATGTCGCTTGGACCGACCGTCAACGCATCTGAGTCGCGAGCCACCCTGCCCAAAATCAGCAGCTTTGCATAGGATTGCCAAGGATATCAGATGTCAAAAAGAGTCGTTGGCACCTTTCCAAGTACTTGCCCAGATCAAGATCAAAGCTTCCAAGGAAGGTGTCTCCCATCAGCCTTGGGCTTCCAGGAAATAAAAAAAGCGGCCACACAATAGCAGCAAATAGCAGCAAACTCCGTCGCACCTCTCGTATCCGAAACTTTGTTGCACCTACCTGATCCGGCCTCAAGTTGCCTGCGTACCTTCTTACATCTTCTTAGTGTCAACCATGTCACTTTGGGAACCTAAACCGCTTTGAGAAGAGTACTGTGGACTGCTGCAGTGGTTCCCCGGCGATAACCGACGTCTCAACGGAATGCAAACGTCAAGGAGCTCGTGGTGGTACAAGCCAACTGTCATCGTACAAGACCAGGATGGCATCTTGATCCGAGGGTAGACCTGAGCTCTCGGCACAAACATGGCTGAGCTGTCATGCGGGGCTTCGTGTTGGTTTTGTCGAGGCACCATTCGCCAATTGAAGACGGCCTTGCCATCCACAGAGTTAAAGTGAACCTGGATTCACGAATACTGGCGTCATAGCATGCCGCACCCTTTTGCAATTGAAAAGATTACTGCAAGGAACATCGGTCTGCTGGAAGGCATCGTATTCGCCACCGTACTGTTTGCAGTCAAGCTGAGTGTGAATTTGCACATTTGTCGCATCGCCATTCCTCAAGTGTGGCGAGCTCCCTCGAAAAACTGCCAAGTACGTTGTACTGAGCTCCGGTAGCCCTGATACCAAGCCGCATGAGCTTTACACCGCTCGCCGTCCAAATGACCAGTCGAACTTCCAGCCTCATTTTCGAAGCAAACAACTGCACGACCTTGCTAAGGTCCGCAAAACACGCACAAAAACACATGAGGTATGGCGAATGTGAGGCTTGCCACTCCGTTGTGGGCGGCTTGGCAAGTGTCGACGGCTTCACTGCAGCAGCATCAGACGACTCAATCATCTCCACCCACCTCAACACACCACACGAAACTCAGTAGTCTTGTGACCGTCGGCCAAATAACAGCGTTGTGGGGTGTTGTGGCTGATGTGCACTGAAAGCGCGCTTTTTGAGCGGACAACCACGGCCAAGGAACATCTCGAGGCTGCCACGGTTTCGACCCGGGAATTCCACGCTGTGGAGGGATCGGTTCTCCGTGGGAAGCATTTGTTTCCTCTACGCGGTGCATACGGGTTCACGCACTTTCCGTGCATCACCTTTTCTGTGCAGAGAGCAAACATCTCTCCTGTTGCCGGCTTGCCACAAGCTCGAATGCCACCGATCTTCCAAGTCAATGACGGTGCCTGGGCTGAGCCACGTCCTATGAGTTTAGAAAGTTTTTGATTGACACAATCGAATGTTGGTCTGCCAGCTGCACATGATGCGTGACACACATGCTCAGCATGTAGAAACTGTGAGCACAACAACTCCCACTGACTCAGGCTAGTCAGGCAAACTGCCGCCAATAACTGAATCCTGGAGAGCGAGCTCTTCCAACGACTTCACAGTCACCTGACACCCGCTGCGTGTGAAGAGCAACATGCAGCCGTTTTGCTTTGGTTACAATGGTTACAACATTTGAGTGAAGGCCTCCAGACGCCAATCTGCTGGAAGCATGATGTCGCGTGCTTCGACGCGGTGAAAGTCAGGAGTGTTTGTTTGCGGTTGTGCCATGTTTCGCATTGATATGATGTGATCCCGCCCAAGGCTCACGTCGAGATATGGATCTGCAAGACCTGTACTTCTGTAGTGGATGCAGACAGCCTTCACAAAATACAGCCGACAACGAATTCTTGGAGGCACGGATTCAGGGTCGTAGAACTTCTTGAACAACGAGTCGTCTGCAAATGCCCACTCATCCAGTGCTGCGTCATGTCCATAACTCGTCCGCAATTTTATGACATCCTCGCCACGGACATCTGCGGATTGCTTCTCTGTTTTTGCGAGCACAACTTCATCCAGCGCGAGGCCTTCCTCCTCTGCATCAGCATCATCATCTTCTTCATCGTCACCCTCGTCAACCTCATCTGCATCTTCTCCAGAAACTGCCGATTCCCAACCGTCAACGAGCTTGAATGCGCATTTCACAAATCCCAACACCTCACCCACTGTAAAGCTCCAGGACGAGCTATCACGGTAGTTGACCGTGTCTTGATTCTTGCTGAGACGCACATTCCTGTACCAAAACGCTGTGTCAAACGGAGCCGAATTCTCCAAGTTTCCGCTCACAGACTTGCGTGAACCTGCTTCCTTAACTCTGGCACCTTGGCGTGGTGAGAATGTGATCTCCTTCTGCATGTTCAATGCTGGGCAAGGCATCGCAGGTATTGGTCTTCTCACGCCCGCGGGAACTTTCAAAGGTATTGGCACTCCAGCTTCATCTATAAAGCCTGTTTCTTGATTTTCTTCCCGGACCTCTGTCTTCCATCCACTGTACACTTGCTTTCTCCACTGCTCAATCTCCTTCCTCAAGTCATCGAGGCTTTGCTGCTGGAACTTGTCCCGTGCCTGAAGTTGCAGCTGTGCTTCTCGAACGAGCCTTGATATCCGATCCTGCTGAGCGTCATACGGCTTCGACAAGCTGACGCCATCCAGCCAACAGCATGGGATCTTGTCTTTCAGGCTGACTAAAGCTTCACCAATATAGTATGCTTCATAGCCAACGGAAGCTCCCACCGAGGATGGCGGCTCGGCGACACGAATGACTAGGTAGGGCTCGAAGCAACCCTTTTCAGGAAGAAGACACTGCAACTTGCCAGTCGTACAGAAATCAAAGTTCTTGCCCTCGCTGTTGAGGGCGATCAACCTGGTGGTCCAAGGTTTCAGTCGTTTAGCTCGCTCCATTGTCGAAGTGGCTTCGCTATACTTGAACTCCAAGCGCTCTTTGGCGGTCTCGGCATGCTTCCCAGGCTTTGGGGAGGCCGCCTTGGAGAGAGACGCAACTGAGAAAGGTGCCACCTCAACCGTGACGATCGGATGAGCGGCATGCACGGTGCCGGCCGCCGAACCCAAAGTCTCCACTCGAGGCAAAGGTAACATGTCACGCAAGCCACGAAGGGAAAAATGTAGCGTGGCTTTTCGCAACCGACAGATATGATGCCTCTCATCAAACTTCTCTGCAGACTGTGGCCACATGTCTCTAGCACCCAAAGATGGCTCGTGACGATGCTTAAAAAGAAGCAGCTCAAAGGCTATCAGAACTTCCCCTACGCATCGTGAGCCAGTTTGATCTCCATATATCTTGATCCATTGTGGCGACAAGATGTAAGGTTCCCACTTGCCAGCATCATCCTTCCGGCGCATGTGAGAGTAGACGCAGACGGCCTTGCCGAGGTTCAGGTTCGAGACTTGGCCTTCCTGCCAGAGGTGGACACCGATTGGTTCAGTCGCCGGGGGTTCACGCGTGGAGTCAGAGCAAAGTAGGATCTTCAGCTCGATGGGCTCCATCCATTGCGGTCGTGGCCCAGTCATCGCTTGCGACCTTTTGGACATGCCCGTACAATCGATGGTGAGACCAAACTTCCCCGCTTCAATGTCACGACGCATGGCGGAATGCTGAATCTGACGTGCACTGAAACAATACGCTCGCAAGAGGTAAACCATTGGCTTGACAGGTTTCCTGAGGCTTCTGGACTCGGCATCTTGATAAGATGACCGCAACGCAATTAACACCGAAGAAGAGCTTTGAGTCGCGTCGTGCAACAGTGGTTGTAACGGTATCGACACAGGCTTCACAGCCTCTGAAGGGTTCCCCCGAAAAAAATCTGCAATGCGGCAGTTCGCGAATGCGACACGTCTGGAGCCATGCAAATACCCTGACGTGTAGAGGCTGATGGTGACAGAAGGCTGCGAATCTTCCGCTTCCTTGCAGCAAAGGGCAATCCGAAAAAATTAAAGCAAATACTACCGAACAGCTATAAACCCGCTGGTGGTGGAAGTCGCTAGCTTCCGTTTGCTGGTACTGAATTGGTCAATGAGTGAGTCAAGCAAGACATGAGCAGCCTCTGCATGTGTTCAGTCATCGACAGGAACCACAGCAAGCAAGTGAATACTCTGCCGGGCCAGAAAAGCTATCCACTGATATGTGTGCATACATGCAATGTAGGATGTCTCGACTTGGCTAGGCACCGCAGTCATAGCAACCAATGTCTCAACACGCCCAGACTTCTCAGAGAAGGTGAAGGTCTTGAAGCCCAGAGCCTCTCCTTTGCAGAGAAATGCTGACTACCGACTACCCAACCAACTCCCCAACCAACTCTGCAACCCCAACGAGGCAGTGAGAGCGCTGGTCCTTGAAGGGCATCATCTTCGAAAGCATCGGTCCCTGGCAAGACCATGCGCACCAGCAGATCATTGTGCTGTCTTACCAGCAAAGGGATCATACCGAATAACATTCACGGAATCCGGAGCATCACTCCGCCTTCAGACGGATCATCCATGGGAGCAGCATCATAAGAAGCCTAACCACAGCTCCGCACCATGACATGGCGCGTGTCATTCTTCTATCTCAAAAACCTGGCAAACGATTACAAATGCCACAACACACTCTGCAGCCGAGCAACCCATTTCGTGGAGCCTTTCACAGAACCAAAGCTGACTTCAACCTTAGAGAAAATGGGTCCAGACGGCCAGCCCTTCGAGACGCTGAGATCTTGTTCAATCGCTCCCTTTCGAGGCTCAACGGTTGTTTAAGTCCGACATCGCGACGACACGGCGCCACAGAGCAGCAGCTCAGCATGGCGTAGCCCTTCAAGGCTCAGGCCTGGCACTGGCGTGCATCTGCCCCGGTAACCTGACAAGACAAATTCACGAGAATTCGGACCTGTCGCGAGAATCATGATCTTCGAGAATACACAGGCTAGAATCAAGAAATCCCGATCCCCTAGGATCTGGCCAGCAGCCATGTAGACATCTGCCAAGATCGACAGTTGTACCATTGCTGGTTCCAGCTCAAATCTGGCAGGCATGGACTTCGGGGCTTGCAGCTCCTGCCCACAGAGGGCTGCATATGAGTATCGACAGATACAGACCCCGCATCATGTCTTTGCAACTCTTTGCATGTACGCATCCTCATCAGGGTCCAAGGGCTCCACGCAGCCGGACAAAAGCAGACGGCCTTCAAGCAAACCCGAGACAAAACTCGCTTACAGCCAGGGCATAAGCTCAGGAAAGGCCTTTGAAAAGATGAGCTTCCGGCTCCTGATAATGTGCACAGCAAGCTTCAGAGAACCTCTGCCATTCGAAGTAGAAGCACCGAGTCCTTGTCGCCGCCGCTTGTCAGCTGCAACTCCTTGGTCCAAAAAGGCTACAACCAATTGAAGTACTGTAATACACAACAAAACTTTGAACTTGTGCTTCGTCAGGAACTGTAAGGCTCCTGTGGCAGCCAACATGGTACAGATATTTGAGACAGCAAGTGTGCATTGCACCGGCGGCAAGAACCGCAACATTCCAGTACTGCTACGCACTACTGCACTCATCTGCACTCCAGCTTGGGATGGAAAAAGGGTGACATGATGAGGTGATCAGCTGCGGTGAAGTGAACTTGTTAGCGACCATGTTTGATGGCATTAGAGAGAGAAATGTGTTGCATTACACACATAGGGAGGGTAGCTCTCGAAATCAAGAGCCCAGGCCCAGGTGCCCACATCCTGTCAGCTACTGTCAGCTACTGGCAGCTACTGGCAGCTACTGGAGTAGCTCTGATCTTGAAGACTGGCCACAGCCAGCTCATCCGGATCCCAACCATACAAGTTGAACCTGGGCCGTGTGGCACAAGCATCAGGTGGGGGTTTTCTGCATTGTGCTGAAGTGCTGGATCTGGAGACGAGACACCAACGGGGTGCCAGAGCATGACTTCGCAGCTCACTGAAAGAAAGGAGGCCCTGGGCCAGAAGCTCCTTGGTTGACAATAGCAAGCTTGTGCTGACCGTGGAGCTTCCTTCGCAGTGCAAACATGTGAAGCACATCAAACACGAAAAAAACGCGACCATCAGAGCTGAGACGTACAGCAAGAGACATCTGGGGAGAACCAGTTGCAGCTCCATAGCTTGAGAATAATTGTATCCTGCGAAGGAGGCAGTTGTTCACAATGGCACGGGCTTGCCTGAGGTGTCACTCGCACAAAACTCAGCTCCTCGTAGACGGGAGTGACAACTGGAATTTGAAGACATTCATTGAAGGTGTACTGCTTAACCTGCTTGCCTGGCACGCACATTTTTGCTTTCACACTTCGTCGAAAGCAAGCACTCAAAGTTATCTCTCTCTCTCTCTCTCCCTCTCCCTTTCTTTTCTCTCCGGAGTTTGGACCCAGCCCGAGCAGAGCTGCCTGTCGAGGTCTTCACCAGACAGCCAGCAAACTCTACCGTCACATAGGGGCTGGGTGCCTTTCTCAATCAATTGAAGGGGAATCGTTTGACGAAGCGTGTCATCTCTCAGGAACCAGCTCCAGCAGTGTCTAGCAGCTCCTCCAAAGCACGAGCGGAATTACTCTGAGAAAAACTGCGCCAGCTCTTATCGGAAAACTGCAGATGGCGCTGTTACTTTCACAAAGAAACCATGGCTTAAAAACCAGAGTTCGATGTCCTCCACACGGAACATGTTCAACCGCACATAATGTGCTCTTCCTGCAAAGCTTGTCATAATCAACTGGGATTCGAACTATCTTGTCCAGCTCAGGGTGTAAACAAGCTTCAACATGCATCAGAAAGCACAACTGCTGCTGTCCTGCTTGAGCGTCAACCGTTTGAGTCAAAACCGCGCTTTCCAAGCCCTCATGATCTCCTTGGTTTGCCTCCGGTATCGAACGTGCCCACATCGACAATGGCATGCTGTGCACGTGTAACTAAGCTTGCGACAGCTGCTTCCTCACCCGCTTCCACTTGCTCGGAAGTCTGTCATGGCACTTTCTGATGTGCTGCAAGCAGCGCAACACAGCAGAACTATGCTTCCTGGCCTGCAGTGACAGACTTGGGGCAAGCTCGAAGGGCTTCAGAACAAAGATAGTGACATTGATGGTGCCGGTCACAGCAGGGCTGTCAGGGCAGCACAAAACACGGTCATCAAAGAGACGAACCACGACGAACGAACGAAGCATTCCTAAGCTAACACAATACACAAATTGCGCTCTAGCAGCTGTCCCGAAAGAACAACATTCTCAAGCCCATTCATCGCCTGTCATCTCTGCGCAGTGGAAGCCACCGTCTTGCATACCTACAGGTGTGCACACGCGGAGTCGCTCCACGCAAAACAGAACATCATCATGTCGCCACAAAGCCTTTGACAAGGAGAACAAAAAGCGTTGGTATGTCTAGCTACAAGCTTGCCGCATATTCGGCGTAAGTATGCAGATCGTCCAATGAAGCCTATACCATCAGCTTAACTTCGCTCACCAAGACTCAAATGGTGTTGGCGTTTGTTGACGAAGGACAACTGCAACGAAGCTTTCCCAATTAGGAAATTTCGTGTGAACCAGTTCCTGCCACAGCAAAAGCACACAAAGCTGCACAAATCAAGTGTTGATGACAATGTGTCATTCACTAACTAGAACAAGTGATGCAGCTGCAACATGCAAATCAGTAAGTGTTGCCACAGCCGAGTCACCTTGCGTAGACTTTGAACTCAATGAATGATGATTCAAACTCCTTTGGATAAAGCCCGACTCGCGGCCAAGTGCAATGCTCATTCCTGGTGACAAGGACTGACAAGGCAGCATGTCGCTCTACATTAGCAGTTCAACACACATGTGCAAACATTCTTCCAAGCTTTCGGCAAAGTACCAAGGAGCAAGAGAGCTGCGGCGCTCTAATGTTTCAGTTTGGTACCAATAACCACAACATTCGATGACAACCTGAAGCCAACTCACAGAATTGGCTAGCAACTGTTGCTTAAAGCGCGAGCTGATGCAGCATAATCATAGACCAAGTGGCAAAAGGGTCACAAAGTGCGCCGTCTTGTGATTGCAAACTTCTTCCTTCAAAAATTCGGAAGCCTCAAAACCCAGAGCAAACTGAAACACGGTGCACATCGTATCTTGAACACTTGCCCATTGCAAGAACAGCATGTACAAGGAACACGGGGGCCTACAACGTAATCTTGCATCGGCCGCGGCGGCGCGTGCTATGTACACGGATGGTTCTGCCAGTTAATCCTAAGGCAACCTGAGTAAACATGTTATAGCATGTTGCACGGTGCGCATGTTTCATTCCCAAATCAACCTACTGGGCACTTGTGTCCAACATAGTGAAAGCATGCCGATCATGGGGCATGTTCGACACAAAAGCTGGGCGAACCGAACATTGACAGACTGTATGCACAAGCCACACATACGAGCTCGTACAGTTTTTCGGCATTGCGAAACAGGATCGCGAAAAAATGCTCCTGGAGCTCAAAAACAACAAAAGAAATATCAATTTCTCCAGGCCAAGACTAGACTGACCCCGTTCCTTATCCGGAGTGGGCGGTGCACCGATAAAACCCTGCACAGCATCTGCAATACAAACAAGTCTATTGGATGGTTGTCCAGTACTCTTCGAGTGCAAGATGCAAACATGTGCATAGTATTTCGCGGCCACATTCGGGAATTTTCGCGCAGCGTCTCGACGGTGTCCTGGAAATTTTCCGCACTGCGGCTATTCTGAGCAGTAGACGGGGCCGGTGGCGGAAAACGAACCGACTGGATCCATTGAAGTCCAGACCAAAGAACGAGCTTCGCTTAGCCCAGGTCGCGGGATCCGCTGGGTGTTTCACAAGGGCAGGCGGACGGGGCGAGGCGTCCGCCACCATGTAGTACAGCGGGAACATCCGAAAGAGCAGGAGCCCCCATCGGCCCTTGCGGTCCGGAAGTCCCCACCCAATGATGCTGCGCACCACATACAAAGACTGCATCATCCTGGATGTCGTGATCCTTGAGTTCCTGCGTGTATCCAACTCCACCGCCTGGACTGCTAGTTCTGGAGACACTTTCCAAATGGCCGCTCTGTCACCAGAATGCTTCGTCACCCAGGATGATAGCTGGTGAAATCACAAATGCGAAGCAACACGTGTCATTCTCAGCACTCTTTTGCGCCCGAAACGAACAGCGGGCTTCAAAAAATTTAAGTACCAGCGCACACCTAAAGCATGGCACCCGCACCGCGTGACCCAACGATCACGCACAAAATCCTTCGCTCACCCCGGGTTGGGAGGGTGGGAAAAAGACTTTCAAGCTCAGAACTTGAACCACGTTCAACTTGCTGGGACACATATAAACTTCAAAATCTCACACGCACGTGTTTAACAGAAGCATGTGTATCAAGCTGTCACGCAAACCTCTTTGCATGAAAACTTGGGTTTAAAACCATCAACATTTGAAACAATCCACAAATGCACACCGCATTTTTTGGAACAAGCAAACGGAAATAAGGACTTATCCATCACGATGGAGCGCAATCTTACCTCCTGTTTACTTGTACTGTTTTCTAACTTCAGCAATTTAGCTAGTGAAGTAAACAGACGCAAAGCAGCCCGTGTGATTATCTGACTCTCAACACTCTTTTTGCCTCCCAAGGCGAACAGCGAGGCAGACAGTTCAAGAGTGAAACACAAGCGCAACACCTAAAACATCGCACCTGCACCACGTGCCCCCAGCGCCAAGGACCGTAGTTTCCATGCAGATCAAGGGATATTGGAGCCTCTGGCCAGCGGGCCCGACCCCCGAAACCCCCTCAAAAAAGGCAATCTTTTTGAAATCATACTACTCTCTTACAATTCAAGGGACGTGTTCCCTAGCTAAGGGATGTCGGAGGCTCTGCACAGCGGGCCCTGCCAGTGGTCCGCCAGTGGTGCTTCTGGCACTGGCTGCGGGCAGGCCCTAGTGCACGCCGCCACCAAATACCCCACCAGCACTTGCAACTCAAATACTCCAATCAAGCACCTGTACATTCCCTGTTAGTCAACAAGTGGGCTGCTACACGCTGCTACATTTTGAGGAAAGAGTGGCACGCCATCATGTGACGCGGCCTGATGCGGCCTGCTCAGGACAGCGGGCAGTACAGCTACTGGCTATTCACGCATATTCAGGCCACATTCCCGGCTGCCCGGCTTATGAAGACGAAATCCCGATGCTGTTGCCCACCTGAGCTTCACTGACCTGCTTGTTCAAGCAACTTTCCGCTACAGTTGCCTGGCTTACCTGGCCTGCTTTCCCCAACAACTTTCCGGCACAATTGCCTGCCTGGGCCAGAGCCTCCTTGGCCCGCTTGCGTTAAGGCCTAAGGCAACTTTCTGGCACAGTTGCCAGCCTGAGCCTGCTTGGCCCGCGCTCAGGCAACATTCTGGTACAATTGTTTGGTCTGCGTAGCGGCAACTGGTACAGTTGCAGGGCAGAGAATCTCATGATAAGGCGGTCAACCGTTCCGAAACGTTGCCTGAATTGGCAAGCCAGGACGGCGCAGGAATGTAAATGGGGTTTAGGGACAAGGCGCGGAGGTTCGAAGTGGTAATCTTGAAAGCGGCTTTTTAGCTGCGACTTCAAGCTTGAGCCTGCAAATGGCTTCGCAGGAGTGGCAACGGGTAGATCGATGCATAGCACGGCAACATGTCAGGCGTTATAAGCCTAAGAGGTCGAACTCGGCTAGTCCCGAGGACCTAGTGAAAGCGCTCAGCGCCCAACTGGCCGTGAAGAAGATATGAGCACAACCCTGCTGCCCCTGCCCCCGAGGATGCGCTGTACTCCTGCATGTACTACGAGTCTGTATCACGGTGAAGTTCGAAGGTTGCAAGCTGCAAAAACAAGCTCGTCAGCTTTGGAGGTGCCCATGCTGGCAAGACTGACGAAGAACTGAGAGAGATGAGTTGGGTCGTCATGAGTAAGGTTTGTAAGGAGAGTTCAATTTTTGACAGAGAAGACAGGGCTGCGCACATGGCGTGTTGCACGATGTCATGGCTGTCCTAAGTTTTGAGTGTCAGGCTTTGGGCTTCCCACGGGGAGGTAAGATGCGTGCATTTTAATTTGCGCAGGGGCACGACCTCCCATGAGAAGGCCACAAGAAGATTGCGCGCATTGTCGAGGTCGGTCATGCAATGGATGTACATGCGCCCGCTTTCGTTGCGCATGCCAATTGTGTCCAACTGCAGCCATGATCCGGGCCGGGCGTTTTGGGTTTGAGGAAGTTCTCTTTTGAGGGCTAACTTGTTGGGAAGCATGGGTGCAAGCTGCAACCCAAGCCTAGCTTCAAACCCGGAACCCGAATCTAAAACTTACACACCTCAATTATTGAAACACACAAAACTAAGCGCGTTACGAAGTAGGTTCAAGCAAGCACTGCAACGCTCACTTTTTACCTTGAGCCACATGCGGGAGTCGATGTCGTAATCGTGCCACTACAACTGTTGCTACATGGTGCTGAGCATCGTGATTTCTCAACTCCCCCCTCTTCGGGACAAGAGGAGAATCATCACATCTTGCTCTCCGGAGTCTTCTTTGTGGAAGCAAACAGTTGTTCTAGGCTATGCGGCTATGAGGGCATTGGTGTTGGCAGGAGCTCGGAAGCCTAACTCGACGAGCAATTGAGCATCGCTACATGACAGATCCTGAGATCCACGTGGGGCGAAAGCAACCAGCACAACACGCGAGGATGTCTCACCTTCCCGCGGCACTGAACACTGCTTGCTCGTAGGCCGAAACAACGCAGGGAGCTCATGGATAGTCCCTGCAAGGTTGCAGGAAGCGTCAGAAGACTGACTCTGCCCCTCAGCGTCTTCTACCCAGATCTGACCTGACCTCCTGTAAACCTCGTGAGCGGAGCCACAAGATTTTAGGATTCTCTGTCATTGAACTTGTCAGAGTGGACGCCAACCTGGATGCCTTGGTAAACGGCAACGGCGGCGCAAGTCAACCGTTTGTTCTGCTGACAAACCTCGTGAGAACGGCGGTAACCCCTCTGAACTTGCAAGTGTTACGTCTCAACCCAACATCCCACCCCCACGCGCATGCCGCATGCGCACCTGTGGCGAAGCTGCGACCCTCTGTGAGCGCGACGGCTCTTGACGATTCGTCGTGGGGAAGCAGGTGGAACAGCTGAAGGATATGGTGTTCCGTAAGTCTGTAGGATGCCGGCGACAGACTCAAGCTCAGATCCTATGAGGGGATCCAACACGACCTGTTGGGATAGTGTCGCGGGAACTGTAGCTTGCCACGCCGTCAGACAGACACAGTTGTTCAAGCATTGCCGGCCATTCTTGCGGACTGATCACTTTTGCGAAGCCGTTTGACCTTTGTTCTTTGGTAGGGCAATAAATCACTTGGACGTTGGGCTCAGCGAGCCTTTCGCTGATGGATGCCACATAAACCCGGTGAACTCTGGGCATGTGGCGGAGCGTTGGGGAGTACTCCGCCACGACCCGGTCCACTGTCTGGACATGTTTTGTCAGACAGGCTTTCACCCGGCGCCGGTGCCACGGCTGGCCCATGTAACCAGCAAAGGTGGCGCAAAATACCCAGGGCACTTCCTGCACGTAGGCAGGCTTCTGCCCCACTACGGCTGCGAAAACTTTGTTTGCATTGGCAGCAGCCGTGCTGCGAGTGAGTAAATGCTGCAAGACAAAGTCGTCCGCGTTGCACATCGCATCACGCAGCATGGCGTCAAAAGCGCCACACGCAAAGAAAGCCAATCGGCGACCTTTCCATGCACACGCTATCCGCTCCACGTTGCTCAGCTCCTCCTGATGACAACGGCATCCCTCCACGAAAGGCGTCAGTCGGGTGGCCTCAGACGCAAAATGCTGAGCCCACACGGCCAGGTCGTAGTGCGTCTCATCCGCAAGAAGCTGCTTCAGAACCGGATACAAGGGTAGCCACTTCTGGAGAACACGAGCCAGGGAGTCCCATCGCCAATCCAACAACTGGTCCATGAGAACCAACCGCGCCTGCTCTTCTATGGAAGCCTCGCACATCATTTTCGCCCTGATGACCTCCTGCCAACTGCGATCCTTGCAGAAACGCGTCACTGAGCTGCCTTTCCGAAGTTCTGCCACTCAGGGACCTGTTTGACAGCGAACTCAAGGCAACTGAAAATGATGCGCAGCGTGCCTGGCAATTGCAGAGCTCTGTGGAACAACGG